TGGCAGTCAAAGATAGGGAAATAAAAAAAATTGACCTGCAATAAGAATAAAATTGCATTGAAGGAGGGGGGAAATAATTGGGTCCCTATTCCATATTGTGACATGGGAGATAATCATTAAATGCTTAAACTGAAAAAAACCTGAATATTGTGACAAGGGCGATAATTATTAACTGCTAAATCAGAAAATACTGAATATTGTGACAAGGGAGATAATCGTTTACTACCTAATCGGAAAATACTGAATATTGTGACAAGGGATATAATCGTTTACTGCTAAATCGGAAAATACTGAATATTGTGACAAGGGAGATAATAAATAACTGCTATATCAGAAAATACTGAATATTGTGACAAGGGAGGTTATATTAACTGCTAAATCAGAAAATACTGAATATTGTGACAAGGGAGATAATCTTTTACTGCTTAATCAGAAAATACTGAATATTGTGACAATGGAAATAATTATTAACTGCTAAATCAGAAAATACTGAATATTGTGACAAGGGAGATAATCGTAAACTGCCTAATCGGAAAATACTGAATATTGTGACAAGGGAGATAATTATTAAATGCTAAATCACAAAATACTGAATATTGTGACAAGGGAGATAATCGTTTACTGCTTAATTGGAAAATACTGAATAATGTGACAAGGGAGATAGTTATTAACTGCTAAATCAGAAAATACTGAATATTGTGACAAGGGAGATAATTATTAACTGCTTAATCAGAAAATATTGAATATTGTGACAAGGGAGATAATCGTTTACTGCCTAATCGGAAAATACTGAATATTGTGACAAGGGAGATAATTATTAAATGCTTAATCACAAAATACTGAATATTGTGACAAGGCAGATAATCGTTTACTGCTTAATCGGAAAATACTGAATATTGTGACAAGGGAGATAATTATTAACTGCTAAATCAGAAAATACTGAATATTGTGATAAGGGAGATAATCGTTTACTGCCTAATCGGAAAATACTGAATATTGTGACAAGGGAGGTTATATTAACTGCTAAATCAGAAAATACTGAATATTGTGACAAGGGAGATAATCTTTTACTGCTTAATCAGAAAATACTGAATATTGTGACAATGGAAATAATTATTAACTGCTAAATCAGAAAATACTGAATATTGTGACAAGGGAGATAATCGTAAACTGCCTAATCGGAAAATACTGAATATTGTGACAAGGGAGATAATTATTAATTGCTAAATCAGAAAATACTGAATATTGTGACAAGGGAGATAATCGTTTACTGCTTAATCGAAAAATTCTGAATATTGTGACAAGGGAGATAATTATTAACTGTTAAACGAGAAAATACTGAATATTGTGACAAGGGAGATAATTATTAACTGCTTAATCAGAAAATACTGAATATTGTGACAAGGGAGATAATCGTTTACTGCTAAATTAGAAAATACTAAATAATGTGAAAAGGGAGATAGTAATCTAATGGTACAACAGAAAAACAGAATATCATGACAAGGGAGGCAATCATTAATTGCTAAATCAGAAAATAAGAAATATTGCGACAAGGGAGTTAAGGATAATCTAATGCTTTACAACAGAAAATGCTGAAGGTGTAATACCATTCAAATCATAGTACGTCACATCCGGTAGCATATGATAAAGAGTCGAAAAAAATATTCCCTTGAATTTGACAGTTGTATGAAATTAATCATACATTTCATTGCAGTAAAATATTTCTGAGTCATAAACATATATCTTGGGTGTTTCAAAGCACCACTCTTTTTTTTATTTGGTGTTTCTATAAAATCTTTTTGGAAACTTGAGGTTACATGGTTACTAAAGCTTGTAAACAGGTAAAAAAGGGGTGCAATTTGATTGGTTAACTTCCAGTGATGGTTATTATCTTATATGCAATGAAATGTTATGAGAAATTTGGTCTGTAGTACTGGACAGGATAAAACTTTACTCATGCCAAGTATTTCTTTATTTGAAACAAAGATAAATTCTGAATATTTTTTTGAAAAGTGCCAATTTAACTAATAAGGGAAAAACAATGGTGGTATTACACCTGAATATTGTGACAAGGGAGATAATGCATTTTCCATAGGGTACCAGCGGTGTTCCATTTTTTTCCCTCAAAGACTACATAAACTAGAAAACAAGTTGTTTTCTTTAAAAAAAGAAAAGCAATACGTGAGCCCAACACTGCTGACTGGTCACCAAAAATTGTTGCTGAATTTTTGTTTGCTTTTGAATTGAAATAATTGACTTGATTGATTGATTGTTGGTGTTTTAACACCACTTTTAAGCTACATTTGGGCTATTTCGTGGCGGCCAGTTTTTATTGATGGAGGAAGCGGGAGTGCCCGGAGAAAACCACTGACCTTCGATAGGAAAACTGACAATCCTAGTCAATTAAGATTGGAGTCGAGTGCACCTAGTGTCTACAAACCGGATTTCTAATGCAAATTGCACAAACCAATCGCAATATAAATTTAAGCGCTCAGTTTGCTTTATAATCTGGATGCATTTATTTTATCTATCATATCTTCATATTTTGTTTCCTGCATGGATGTCTTCAAATTATTCTCAACTCGTTATTGAAGCTGTCTGAACTCATGGTAGATGTTGTATAGATAAATTTTAAAATCTAAAATTTATAATAATCGAAAGGGAGCTCACGTCAATAGATATAAACAATTCACCAAAGTTTCATGAAAACTGCTCAAAACATTTTTGAGTTATTGTCTGAAAACTGAAAAATCCCCCTTTTTTAATGAATAAAACCCTATAACTAGGAAACGTAAAATCTAAAATTTATAAAAATTGAAAGGGAGCTCATGTCAATAGACATAAACAATTCACCAAAGCTTCATGCAAATTTGTTAAAGCATTTTTGAGTTATTGTCCGACATGTTGACAACAGACGGACGGACAGACAGATGGACAACTGTATACCATCATACGTCCCATAAACAGGCATATAAAAAAATCTAAGTCCATTTATCAGTAAAATACAGAAAAATGAAAAAAAATATTTTCAAAATTTTGCTCTGGATACTGTAATTTGGTCATTAAGGATGTTTGCTTCTCTTGTTTTAGAATTTTTGCCAGATATTCGGAATCCTCTATTTTTATCCATGTAGTGCCATTAAAAAATTTTGCCCACTAACCCCTACTTTTCTTTTCATAATATCATTACAAAAAGTTTAAAAAGACTTATTTCAAAATCTTATAAAATCCTTGTAATTTTTTCATAGTTTTTGAAAGATAAAAGGTGCCAATGTTAAATGTATGAAAAGTCTAGAGAAAATCATTTCCCGCCAAATTTTCAATGGCTTATATCTCGAAAACAAGCACACGGACCCTTAATTTTTATCTGCTTTTTAAGTTCCTTTATGTATATACTATCGATTTATTATAGTCTTTCAAAAAGCTTGTTATTTTGAAACAGAGTAGCGCACATCCTTAACAAGCTTCTGTCCTAATTTCATAAAATTCCATGAGGTTTTGACAAAGTTATTGATGTATAAAAAAACATCACCACGGACTGAACCAAAATGTTGATGCCGCCAATGCTGATGCTGAAATCTAGGATGGCTATGTCCTGCTTTCACGACATAAATGTAGCAGGCGAGACAATGAATGGGCACTACACAAAAAAGTGACTTTGTGTGTAAGTTTGATAATATTTGGTTAAGGCAAAGTAAAGTTAGTGAGATAATTAGTATTAAATGCTACAACAGAATATAATGCAATATTGTGACAAGGGGGATAATTATTATCAACTGCAACAGAAAACTTTATTATATTGTGACAAGGGAGATAATTATTATCAACTGTAACAGAAAACATTATATTGTGACAAGGGAGATAATTATTATCAACTGCAACAGAAAACATTATTATATTGTGACAAGGGGGATAATTATTATCAACTGCAACAGGAAAACATTATAATATTGTGACAAGGGGGATAATTATTATCAACTGCAACAGAAAACATTATAATATTGTAACAAGGGGGATAAATATTATCAACCGCAACAGAAAACATTATTATATTGTGACAAGGGAGATAATTATCAACTGCAACAGAAAATATTATTATAATTGTGACAAGGGAGATAATTACTATCAACTGTAAAAAAATTTATTATATTGTGACAAGGGAGATAATTATTATCAACTTCAACAGAAAACACTATTATATTGTGACAAGGGAGATAACAAATATACTACTTAAAAAAATCACATTTCCCACTGGTCTTTGTTTTCTTGTCTGTCTAATTGGCAATTTAAACATAATTAATGAGTAAAAGAAGACCTTTGGTATATTTCAATAAGACAGCAATGCAACAATACAAATATCCCAAAAAACATCTAAAAGTTAAAGGAAATAACAATAGACAAATGTCAATATAAATTTGTTTAGATATAAATAGTCTCATGTCATGTGACCCTAAATCCCCTAAAGAACAAACTAATTAGTAAAAGACAATGTGGTTATATACCACTGATGAGGGACTTGGGAATATCAAATGAATAGGTTTTTGGTTTAGCTATTTTTTCTTTTTAATTCTCAACCATCAATCTTTTAATCTAAATCACTTGAACAACAAAGGATGCATAAAAGAAAGTGCAAGACAAACAGTGCATGAAGACCACCTCATTCATAACACTGGTATATTGTAAACAAACAAACACAGGTCCAGGTGATGCAATTGTAAATAAAACTGTATCAAAGAATTTTCACAATTACTGAAAGCAATCTAGAAATACTTATTCTGTTGATAAATTATGTCATCCTACCCTACTACATTAGCAGCTGTACATTGAAGTAGATTTCATATTGCACATCAATGTGCAGGGAGACATGATTCTTTGCAAATTCAGTGTTTGTGCTTAGCTGTATACCAAACGTTTTAAAACAATGCACACTTTCACACTATGGGTCCATTTATGTGACCGTCTTCCATCTACAGAGCAAGTGATATATTACTGTGCAACACTATAAATTAAGTTTCTTTATTTATATATATATATATATACATGTACATATATGAAAAATTCTATAGGTCACTGTAATAAGTCTAAATTATACCTTCCTTACTTACATAAACATTCTGTAACTTTTCATAGAAATAGGTTGTGTGAGGTTTCCATTATACATTCACAATACAGCTGTACATTTAATATCCTGTAGTCTTAAGGATGTTCCCTACTCTGTTTCCAAATAACAAGCTTTTTAGAAGACTGTTATAAATTGAAAGTATTCTAATGGTAGAAGCAAAATAGCAGAAAAAAATGAAAGGTCCATGTCCTTGTTTTCGAGATATAAGCCACTGAAAATTTGGGAGGAAATTATTCTTTCTAGAGTTATCATATATTTTGCATTGTCACCTTTTCCTTTCAAAAACTATGAAAAAATAACAAGCTTTTTATAAGATTTCAAATATGACTTTTTAAACTATATACAATAAAATTACAAAAAGAAAAGTAGAGGTTAGAGGGCAATTTTTTTTTAATGGCACTACATGGATAAACCAGAGGATTCCGAATATCTGATAAAAATAAAAAAACAAGAGGAGCAAACATCCTTAATACATCATACAATAATACAATAAAAATCACAGTTTAAACAAAGCAATTAATAAAAAAAAATGTTTGAAAACACATAATTTAATCATCTGTGGATTCATTTATTTTCATTGGTATCAATTTCTTGTTTTTAGAAAACAATTTCCAGGGTTCCTTATTTCCTTGTTACTCATTTGCTGCAATCAAAGTCACTAAAATTTGTTTTTTGAAAAAGTAATTGAAGTCGTTGTGTCCCCCTTACTTACACAAATTTGGTATCATAAAAAAATAAGGCATTCACTGTACATTTTGTTATATAAATATAATTTACAAAGCAATGACTTTAGATTACAGATTGCACTGTAAACAAAGACAACAACTCACTAAATACCAAATTTTTCTCTCACTTTTTATGGTATAAGTTTTCAAGTTACCAGGCACCATACTTAAATAATATAACTATTGTTTCTGATTCAACGGGTGAATACAGTGTTTTGGTATTACATTGTATAAAAGACATTGCCTGATTCACTTAGTTTTAGTTTCAAATTCAATGAAAAACAAAACAACAATAATAGTGTTAGTAAGAGGGACAATGACTTTTTTGTACTGTATCACAGTTTCCCTGTCTGTGAGATCAAATTATAAATATGATGCATGCATTTTAATAATTAACAAAGAAAATAAAAAACAATATCAAATTGTAATCCATTGACAAATTACAAGATGTAAACACAATAAAAATCAATTAACTAACAAACAAACAAAATCAAACTGCTTTCATGACTAGATAAAGAGATGAAATAATTATATAACTGATGAAGATCAATACAATTCAAGACAATAAAAAATATATAATATAATGACATAAATTTTGAGCATAAACACCTTCACAGGTAAGTTATCTTTTTGATGGAACATTCTGATACATTGCTGAAAATAAAAAAATAAAAAAATATTTTATTTTCATTGTTAATTTTACAATCCAGATGTGAAGCAGGATTTGCTAACTGTTCAAGAGCGTCTGATCTCATTTCAATGATTTTTGTGGGGTTCGTGTTGCTCAATCGTAAGTTTTAAATGTAATGTTATGTGGACTGTTATTTATCTTTTTGTAGTTTTATGTTTTTTGGCATGATTTTGTTGGTCTCTCTTTGACTTATGGGTTTGATATTTCTTTTAAAGAACAGAACAGTTTACTGCATTATTCGTCTTTATATCTTTTGACTGTGATATTTTATAAAGGCAACTGCTTTAATTGAGTGGAAAGGGAAGTATAGAAATGCAACAATTGGTACATGTATAAATAATCAATAAAGGGCAATAACTCCTAAAAGGAGTCTACTAACAATTTCAGCTTTGTTTGATATTTTTAGATCTCATTCCGCTGATCATTTTGCTATATAAAGTTGCTCTTTTTCTATTGTAGCTTTCAAGATAATCAGCAAAAATACAAACCATTTGTAAAAGAATGTTCATCATTCAAGGGCAGTAACTCCTATAAGGAGTCAATTGACAATTATTTCAGCTATGTTGATTTCTTTGAATATCTTTTCTTGCTGATTACATTGCTATTTTTTTATTAAAGTTTCATTTTATCTATTACAGTTTTCATGATAATTGGCAAAATTGAAAAAAAATGGTAAATAATGGTCATCGAAGGGCAACAATTCCTTATCCTATGCCAGGATAAACTCAATGAAACAAAGGAAATGTATATGCTCTAATTCAACCCTGTTATGAAAATAACACCCCTCTCTTACTTACGTTCATCACCTCCATCGACTACCTCTTCCTCATCTGTGTCTTCTGACATGGCCAGAATGTAATCACTGATACAATGGTGGATAAATACGTACTGGTCCTGAAAATTATAATAGTACATGTACTACAATAAATAATTAAAGCAGATGTGATTAAGGTAATAGTCAAAAATCATCAATGCAAATGGTAAAGTTGAAGTCATCCCTTCGTAAGTTTGAAGGACGCCATCATGATATGGTTGACCATTATTAAATATCTCTGTCAGAGATGATTATGGACATGTTCCACTTGTCATAACCACAGTCCCTTAAATATCTCCGTCAGAGATGATTATGGACATGTTCCACTTGTCATAACCACAGTCCCTTAAATATCTCTGTCAGAGATGATTATGGACATGTTCCACTTGTCATAACCACAGTCCCTTAAATATCTCCGTCAGAGATGATTATGGACATGTTCCAGTTGTCATAACCACAGTCCCTTAAATATCTCCGTCAGAGATGATTATGGACATGTTCCACTTGTCATAACCACAGTCCCTTAAATATCTCCGTCAGAGATGATTATGGACATGTTCCACTTGTCATAACCACAGTCCCTTAAATATCTCCGTCAGAGATGATTATGGACATGTTCCAGTTGTCATAACCACAATCCCTTAAATATCTCCGTCAGAGATGATTATGGACATGTTCCACTTGTCATAACCACAGTCCCTTAAATATCTCCGTCAGAGATGATTATGGTCATGTTCCACTTGTCATAACCACAGTCCCTTAAATATCTCCGTCAGAGATGATTATGGTCATGTTCCACTTGTCATAACCACAGTCCCTTAAATATCTCCGTCAGAGATGATTATGGTCATGTTCCACTTGTCATAACCACAATCCCTTCCTTTTTTCATCAATTCTTTTATTACTGAATGAGACTTCATCACCTAATTTTACTTGTATGAGCAACATGGTTTTTTGTTTGAGTTCATGATGCTCAGTTTTCATTTCTGTGGAAGAATTTGTTATAATTGTTTGTCTTTTTTTTCGGCCATGTCTTTATTGGACTAATTTTTATCATTGTCTAATGCATATCTACAGAGGACTTACCTCCATTTGTAGCACATTACAGTCATTATTCCTTAGTTTCAGAACAATAACATGACTAAGTTTTACCCTTTTCCTGATAAAGGACCTACAGCTGTTTGTACCATGTTACAGCGATGGTTCCTCAGTTTCAGAACATTAACAAATTTTGACTGAATTTTACCCTTTTTCTGATAAAGGACCTACAGCTGTTTGTACCATGTTACAGCGATGGTTCCTCAGTTTCAGAACATTAACAAATTTTGACTGAATTTTACCCTTTTTCTGATAAAGGACCTACAGCTGTTTGTACCATGTTACAGCGATGGTTCCTCAGTTTCAGAACATTAACAAATTTTGACTGAATTTTACCCTTTTTCTGATAAAGGACCTACAGCTGTTTGTACCATGTTACAGCGATGGTTCCTCAGTTTCAGAACATTAACAAATTTTGACTGAATTTTACCCTTTTTCTGATAAAGGACCTACAGCTGTTTGTACCATGTTACAGCGATGGTTCCTCATTTTCAGTACATTAACAAATTTTGACTGAATTTTACCCTTTTTCTGATAAAGGACCTACCTCTGTTTGTACCATGTTACAGCGATGGTTCCTCAGTTTCAGAACATTAATAAATTTTGACTGAATTTTACCCTTTTTCTGATAAAGGACCTACCTCTGTTTGTACCATGTTACAACGATGATTCCTCAGTTTCAGAACATCTCCAAAGACATCAATCTGGTTATAATCATTGTCTAACTGATGCAGTAGTATATCTACATTTATAAATGTTCCTGTCCTCCCAACACCAGCACTGTATAAACACATTAGGAATATCAGTCAGATTAATCGTACAAATAACTTCTAAATACAAAACATATTTATAAATATTAATCTGTAACTAATATCAGATGTTCCTTGGCATTTGCAATTAAAATTATTAGCATATTTTGAAAGCCTGTTCTCTAGTAAACTATTATGATACTCAACTTTTGACCTTGAAAAAGACAATTGTCATCACTCTTCTAATTCTTGATTAATTATGCTAAGTTTTAGTTTAACTAATTAGTCTGTCATACAGACGAGATTTTTTATCAAAGTCTAACCTGTGACATTTAAACTTAATTTGGACAAAAAATGTTGACCACAGCATAATGTTAACCCTAAAATTTGATTTTGATCAACATTTTCCCATGACTTATAATTGTACCAATATAAGCGTGAAGATGGAACAAGTCTTTCAGCTGCACCTTGTTGAATATGTTTGGATCTACAAATTGAGTATCAAAATACAAGGGTTTTGCTGTGTATCCCTGACCTTTAACATGACCTTGAAAGTCAAAATGACGTTGTCTTCTTGATTATTATGTCAGTATGGAGTATCATGATGATTGACAGAATGCAGTTTTTACTGAGCTGACAATACATAGATCTATGACCTATGATGACTCAATAAAGGACATCCTTTCCTTTTGGTTTTCTAAGATCTGTATTAGATAAGGATTTAACAAACTATTTGTTGAATATGTGCTATTCCAAACATTGCTGTGATGTGAAAATAACTTTTATGATAACAATGAAAATATAATTCTATATTAATCAAATAAAGCATTTGGATGTGGTTTCGGCAGCAAGAATACTCAGCTCTACAGACTGTCTTAATTTTTGGAAAATTTAGGTAATACAGAACAAAGCCTGAACATGATCATACACTTTTGAAACAAAATTGTGCTTACTATCAAAATTAACAAGTAAAACTGCTAGATTTTGGAATGACGGACAGATGTTGGTGAGACGCAGGACCCTGGTTACTCACTGAGTGGCGAGTGCATAAAAACTGTCCATATTATTTTATTAACTGAACAAATAAATGCAATTAAATTAAATGTATTATAGTAATAATTGTTTAATTTGTATGTTTTAGAAGGAATATAATACCTGCAGTGGACTGTTATTGGCCCTTTCATTGTTGGATTGACATGTGATCTAACAGTTTTGACCAATGATATCATGTTGTCTGTAGAGGAAGGAACGCCCATATCAGGCCATGCTATGTACAGGAAATGCATTATGCGTTTCTGGATATTTCCCTATAATAAATACATGCAGGATAATATTCCATTCAGAATAATTGTGGACCATCTATAATTACAAATGTTAATTGTGAAGGAATAAAAAAAACTTTTTTAACTATGAAGAAAGGATACTTTCAGGTCAGAATGTGCTACTTCAAACCTACAAATTTTGCAAGTATAATTTAATAAAAATGAAGTAGATAAAATTGAGAATGGAAATGGGGAATATGTCACACTAAACTCCAAAACATATAAATGAACTAATATTAAAAAACATACAAGACTAACAAAGGCCAGAGGCTCCTGACTTGGAACAGGCGCAAAAATGCAGCGGGGTTAAACATGTTTTGTGAGATCTCAACCCTCCCCCTATACCTCTAGCCAATGTAGAAAAAAGAAACACATAGCAATACGCACAGTAAAACTCAGTTTAAAAGAAGTCCGAGTCCGATGTCAAAATAGGTAACAAAAGAAACTAAGCAAAATGACAATGATACATAAATAAACAAAGGACTACTAGCAGTTACTGACATGCCAGCTCCAAACCTCAATTAAACTGATTGAAAGATTATGTCTTCATCATATGAAAATCAAGTATAATCCCTCCCGTTAGGGGTTTAGTATCATACCATCATAAAATATATTAGAAGAACATAACCTGTATCATGCCAACAACTGGTTTTAGAATAAATGTGTTTATTTCCGATGCAAAGACCCTATGAGTGAATCAATATTAATACCAAAATATGCAATCCTTAATGACTTGACAATAGTATTGTAACTATATCCTTTCCGAATAAGTCTGTTTAAAAGTTTGGTTAGCTTTTGAGGTGAATGCCGACATTTTTGTGCTTTGTAAAGAATATTACCATAAAATATTGGATGTGAAATACCTGAAAGTATAAGATGTTTGCATGTTGATTTATATTTACGAATGATGTCCTTGTACCGATGATAAAATTTAGTAAATGTTTTGACTACTTTGTGTTATCGAAAACCCTGGTGTAATAATTTTTCAGTAATACAGAGATTTCTTTCGTTGAAATCAGATGTCTGACTGGTCTGAAAAACATTTTCACCTTACAAATAATCACTATCCAGTCAAGCTACTGATCAAATATAAAGCCATTCTGTGCAGTAGTTTCTTCGAAAAAATGTGATAAATATATTTGTTGGATGAATGGATGGACTCACTAAAAAATGGACAAGGGATGATTGCAATATAGCCCACACTGCTAGAGTAGGGATATACAAAATGTAAGGAAAAGGGATAAAAAGGGTGCCTAATATCTACAATATACTTATAACATGCTGGATAAAATTTAAAAAAAAAATGCTATACTTTATAAACTATTGGTGTTTGGGTGAGGTCCTCTGCTAGGCTAAAATCTACTCTGAATAATACAAGACCTGCCTTGTTACAAATTTTCAATTCATCCAGCTCAATCAAAATCTAATAAAATCCAAGATAATTTTAAATAAATAAATGATTGAATGAAAGATCTATAGGGTAGGCCTTTTATTGCAGTAGAAGCAGTATTTGCTGCTCTGCTGCTCAAACAGTAAACATTTTTTTTAATGGTTTTAGAAAATGCAAAGGTTTAAGCTTTTCTTTTTGTCATATCAATATGATAAAAAAAATCTTGACTTAAATGCACTTACAGTCCATTAATTATTCAGATACATAATAAATATATTTGAGCTGAAGAAAAGAAATTTTAAAACAAGAAACCAGTCCATATAAACTGATACCTGCAGTGGACAACAATGGGACCAGGATTAACATAAGGTGTAAACACCTGTACTGATCTTATAAAATCTACCAGTAGCCATGTTGTCTCTGGACAACCAAAATCTGGCCATTTTAGAAAGTGAGCATGTTTCACTTTTCTACATTTGTTGCCCTAAAAAAGGTTATGAATAGTTTTAAATTCATTTCTTTATAAAATGCTCCGCTGGGCGCAGCTTGATACGACCGCAGAGGTCGAACCCTGAACAGTTGGGGCAAGTATGGACACAACATTCAAGCTTGATACAGCACTGAATTTGGATTGTGATTAAATATTTGACACAGCATATGTTTCTGACACAGAATGAATGTGGTCTAAGAACTTAAAAAATTTTAATTTACCTATTCAAACCATATCATTATTATTTGCTTTTGTATATAAATCAGAAATAACCAATTTAAAATGGAAAATTTTAAAGAAAAAAAAAGGAAAAAAAATCCCCCCCTCCAATTTTTTGAACCCCCTTATGATTCATCACCCCCAAACTCAATCCCAGCCTTCCCTTTGTGGTATGGTACCTTGCAGTACAATTTCAGAGAGATCCATACACTTGAACACAAGTTATTGTCTGGAAACTAGAAAAATGCTTGTTTTTTGGCCCCAAATTCCTAAATATTTAGGGCAATTACCCCCAAACTCAAACCCAGCTTCCCTTTGTAGTATGGAACCTTGTAGTACAATTACATAAAGATCCATACACTTACACACAAGTTATTGTCCTGAAACTAGAAAAATGCTTGTTTTTTGCCCCTTGTTTGCCCCTAATTCCTAAAATTTTAAGGCAATTACCCCCAAAATCAATCCCAGCCTTCCCTTTGTGGTATGGTACCTTGCAGTACAATTTCAGAGAGATCCATACACTTGAACACAAGTTATTGTCTGGAAACTAGAAAAATGCTTATTTTTGGCCCCTTTTTGGCCCCTAATTCCTGAACCTTTTGGGCAATTACCCCTAAACTCAATTCCAGTTTTCCCTTTGTGAAATGAAACCTTGTAGTACAATTTCAGAAAGATCCATACACTTACACACAAGTTATTGTCATGAAACTAGAAAAATGCTTATTTTTTGCCCCTTTTTTGGCCCCTAATTCCTAAAATTTTGAGGCAATTACCCCCAAAATCAATCCAAGCATTTCCTTTGTGATATGGAACCTTGTGGTACAATGTCAGAGAGATCCATACACTAACACACAAGTTATGTCTGGAAATTACAAAAATGCTTATTTTTGGCCCCTTTTTGGCCCCTAATTCCTAAACTGTTGATTCCATAACCCCCAAAATCAATCCCTGTCTTTCTTTTGTGGTATTGAACATTATGGTAAAATTTCATAGAGATCCATTCACTTAAACTAAAGTTAGAGTGCGAAAACCACTCTTCGCCAACGTCATACCAATATACGACCCCCAAATTTTTTTGCCGTCGTATAAAAACATGTGCATTTTACATGATTTTTTAACAATGAAAATTAAATTTGTTGGGAGAAGAAAAGTTCAGTTTTTTTTTACCTTTTACATGTTATAAAACATTATTCAAACTGGAAAATTTAAATGAAAAAGAAATTATATTTCTGTATCTAAATATTGATAAATGACAATCTTTAAGATTATAAAAGACCAAACTTAGAAATAATCTATAACCAATTGATGTGTTGTTGATATTTGTTGCGTTTTGACCATATCTAAATTAAAGTATAGAAAAACTTACAAATGTTACATTGATAGTTCTGAGAACATACTCTGGAAGATGAGATTCATTTTCTATTTCTATGCTTAAATCTCCATAATAAACTGGTTCTTTTACACACTCTGGCCAGTAACACTCACATTTTCTCTGAAAATAAAACAGCAGGATTTTTTTATGTAGTCATTTTATTCACTCCTAAGTCATAGGATCTCTTGACTCTTTTCTTGCTTCTGTTATTTTGGCTTTCACATTGAACTAACATTTCAGACATTTGTTGAAATATATGGGACTTGATGACTATAGTATAACTGCTTCCTTTACACCATTTACTCAAAAGTTAAATTTTCTTTATATATTTAATGTAAACAAAATGTTTTCAATCAAATCAACAAGTTTTTGATCAATCTTGTTTCATTGTAAATTTCGAAAAGTAGATTATTAAACCAAAAAAAAATTTGCACCTGTTTGTCTTCACTTTTGAATAAAATGAACACAATTGAGTGTAAAATTGAAATATACTAAAAATAGTAAAAGTATTCTAAAATTCTTATTGCAAATAAACAATCATTTTTATGAGTAAATAAAGTACCATTTGAATGGCAATGTAGCAAAACTTTCTATTAAGTCTTACAATCTTAACCAGGGGCGTTATGCTAGGTATTCAATGAACTGTAGGCACAAATTGCAGCAGGTGGCCTGGTAGGGTTTTTTTGGGGGGAGGGGGGCAAAGCCCCCTATGGAAAATGGTTTTCAACATTTTAAGGTGCATTGTTTTGTAGTTAGGTGTACACAAAACATAAAATTTATTGGTCATTTTATCATGAAAAGTTTTAAGAATTATAAATAAATTTACAATAACATCTGAAAGACGTATTTACGCAGTACAATCGGAAATCTAAAAAAAGTATTATACTATCTGCATTGCCCAGCATAGCAATTTAGTTTAGCAGTAAATCTTTTTAGCCCTTTTATATCTATTCCTTTTTGATGAAGGATAGTTGATATACCTCAATGAAAAGTACATATTGACGACTATCCTTCCTTAGAAAATCTGGCAGGTAAACATTAAACTATCATTTGGGCTAGGCAACCACCATTCATCTTTTGATTTAGATTCTAAAAAATCCTGCACCCCTTCCCCGCGGCCACACAAACACACACACACACAGTCAATGCCAAATGCATTCTTTTGGTTCTGTTTATACTTTCTAACAATATTCAAGAAATTCATATCTTCGGATATCCTGTAAAATCCCTACCTGCTTAGGAATTTGAATAATTAAATTTATAGTCATTTCACTTTGTTCATATAAGTTTTTGTTTTACTCAATCCTATTAAAAAACAGACCCTGTGTCCACATTTGGCATTTTCTCTACATGAGGGATTGGATATAACGTCACCATATTCTGATAGGATGTGACTGTGCATTAATACATCCTGCACAGTCAAACGGAAACCCCAATTAGCCAATACCAACCAATAAAAAATCATGTATTTAAGAATGAAATGTCAGGGCATTGAATATGTTGAGAGAAGTGAAATGATGTGAATCAAAGTTCTAGTTTTTAGTTTCTATATCAGGTGGCATACAATGTACATAAAATTCTATCTAAAACTCCATGATGATAGACTAGTGTACAATATTGACATGCATTTGATGACTTCACATGCATCTAATCTATATACAGATAACATTGTCTTTTATTTTTATTTAAAAAAATATTTTTTGTGAAAACATTATGTGTAGGCACGTGCCTAAAGTGCCTAACAGCAGCTACGCCTCTGTTAACTGCTGTGGTCACAAAACTTTCTATCAAGTCATACAAACTTAACTGCCGTGGTCACAAAACTTTCTATCAAGTCATACAAACTTAACTACTATAGTCACAAAACTAAACTGACATTCTGTTTCTAAATCTTTTGTTATAAAAGTTTATTTATTTGGGATGACAGAAATAAAGAAACTGTTCATAGCAATACCACCTACCCAAATAGTGTCATACATGTAACAAGTTCTTACCTTCCCTCTCTCTATACACTGTGTTAACATAACAATTACATTGACATTACCTTTCCTCTCTCTATACACTGTGTTAACATAACAATCACACTGACATTTTGCTCCCAAATCATCCTCCAGAAATCATCTTTAGTCGAAGGCAGAGGTCCTTGTGTTGCTATGTATTCTCTCTTAGAATTAAAACCCTGAAGATAAATATAAAGTTAAATCAATGACTCTTTCAAGAGAAAATATGTAAATATCGCCAAACATTAACTCCCTGAGACAAGAGAAACCAGAATGCATTTTTGTTTAAACCTGAATACCCAAGGATTGAAATTTCAATCCAGATTGATAAATTACTGTTAATTAATGATGTACTGTAAATTCAGAAATTATTGCGATGTTTTTATTTTTGCGAAAAATGCGACAAGGTTATTATCGCAATAATTTAAACTCGCATTTTGAATTTTTTTATATGAAATGAACAGGATATTTCTAAATTATCGCAAACATTTAAATCGCATTTTAATCTACAATGACAAAATCGCAATAATAAATGCACGCAATAATTTCTGAATTTACAGTATTCATCATTGCAGGTCCTAGCTTGACCCATGGGGAAATCTTATTAATGTGAGTGCAAAAGATTTTTTAAGGAAAATCACTACTGAAATTATGAATGCAAGTTTTTATTATTACAAACATGATTCTGGTACATTTCTAATAAGACACTGTATTTTGATAAGTCACATGTAAGTTACAAAAACTATTATTTTAGTGTATGTAGATATTGATGGCTAGATCAACATTTGATTGGTTGAGACTTTCCCACTTAACTCTGAACAAAACTTCATTTTCCCCTCTGAGTATCATATTCAACTCTGAACATTGGTACTACCTTGTGCAACATGAAGCATGGTTAATTTACATAACATTTTTTTTTTTAAATAGATAGCCATTATTGTGAACAAAATTATTACAGATGTAAAAACGAGAGAAAAAAACTTGTTGTAGAAGAAATAATTAACTTTTGATTGGTAATATTTATCAATGTTGATCGGTGTTCCCACTGTCTATATCACTCTGATAAGCTCTTCATAAAATTACGTTGACCTGGCCTTAATAACTTTCATCCAGACATATCATCGACGTCATAATGAAAAACCGATGTTGATAAGTTTGACCCGAACTTATCAAGTCAGCTTCCGGTTTGCTGGTGAAACAAAGAAAAACGCTTGTTTCTATCGTACAAAATACTGATAAATCGATTATCAGATTTTCATCATATCTATATTGTAAAATATCAGCTGCTTGACATAATATGAAACCTTTTGAACTTGTTCACTGCGTTCACTTGACAAAAGCTTCATATTGTGAGTCGCAGCTGATATTTTACAATATCAATATGCAGACAACTTAATAATCGGTACTTATCTATGTCTTTATATATTGATATAACTTTTATGTACAATATTTCTTAATAAAAACAACCATTTCTTACAGTTTTGAAGTTTTTAGCAGAATATTTGTACATGCTATGTCCATTAGGTTTATATAAAAATAAAGAAATTGCTATTATTTTTTCACAAGAGAAACAAAATCTGACTTTCAAAATAAATAAAAAAATAAAGGCACTGTATAATTAAGAGTAAAAACTTACAGGAATATAGTTAGCATTTATGTAATCTGATCCTTCCTCATCATCCAGGGGAAGTAACTTTACACGACTGTGATCAACTGTTGATATAAATACATATTCTAATATGAGGTTCTTCAAACGCTTTCAGTACACACCGTGGTAAAATATGAATATATTGATATGTCAGCTGATAGTTTACGTCATGGATTGTTTGGGATGTTCCAATCTGACTCCCACATCGTTTGCTTTTTATTAATGAGTTACCTGAGGTCAGACAGTGTAAATGACGTCATTGAACGATGATGTAAGAATGTAAGCATTCTACGAGAAAATGTAGGAATTTAAAACTGAAAGTCGTCAAGATATAAAAACATAAACAAACAATCGTAAGAATTTGTTGAAGGCCCATTTTCTTAAATAAATCAACTTCGTCCAAACCTGTCTTAGTATGTTATTTATTGTAGATCATTTAAGCATGTCACTTATTCAGTTTTCTTTGTATTTTATATCAATATTAATAGTGTTTTCAATTACGGGAACAGCAAACATTTCCCTTCACCTAGAGCGCTTCGAAACAAAAGAATTGCTGTCTTTGTCCTATTAGAATAGAAATAATTCATGGGGACTTGAATTTATATTGATTTTACCATGGGTTGGCCCTTTATGCTGATATTTTACCCCTCGCTATCACTTGTGGTAAAATATTAAGTATAAAGGGCCAACCCATGGTAAAATCACAACAAATTCAAGCCCCCATGAATTATTTCTTAATTATATATGACTTGTCATGATTATCCATTTAAATAATCTATCCAACTAGGAAAAATAACTTTGAATCACATTTCAGTCAATTGTTGACTATTTACATTAATAAGTGAACACATTAATTTATTATTCTGATATTTTAGAACCTCCATTATTTGAATTCAGGATATCTAGAAATCATTTAGGACCTCCTGAATACAGGACACCAATAATTTGATTGTAGGACCTCCATAATATAATTTTGGGATTTCAGGATATCCTGAAGTCAATGTACTGATATCTTGAAATCTAATTGAAGAGGTCTTGAAATATTTTATTTAATATTTTAAAAATACAATTATTTTGATTTAATCCATGCCTCATAGTTATTTCTAGTGGTAGAGAATAATTTTAAAAGGATGTCAATATGACAATCTTATATTTAACAGAAGTAAATATAAGGTTTTAAAATCTAAAGCATTGCTGGAAAAGTCCATTTGAAACAATGAAATCAACTGATATCAGCAAGCATAAAAATGTAACATGGTTATTCCTATAATACAAATATGCATAAAATCTGTTAAATGAACTTATTCAATGTAATATGTAAAACAAGACTCTCTCTTTCTATCATCCTTATTTCTAAAGCAAAGAATATCCACAACTTTAACCAAAGAAAGATTTATTTACATGGCAGTATATTAGAATATCGGTTCTTGGTTCTGGCTTCCTGCTGTTCAGCTGCCTCTGTGGAAAGCATTGGCGCCATAGCTTTCAACTCCTAAAAATCATAAATAGGTCAGTTTTAATTGCTATTTATACTTTATATATATTGTATACTTAAAATCTTTTTGGTATATATATTTAATACATTTGATGATGTAGAAAACCACTTCAAACATTTTTGTTTAGGGGCCAGCTGAAGCCCGCCTCTGGGTGCAGGATTTTCTCGCTGTATTGAAGACCCAATGGTGGCCTTCATCTGTTTTCTGCTCTTTGGTCGGGTTGTTGTATCTTTGACAAATTCCCCATTTCCATTCTCAATTTTAATTTTACTGTATAGATACAAGAAGAATGTAACAATGCATTGCGTACTAGAAAACCTCTAAAAGTTAAATTAAATCAAATTTTACATTGAGTTGTAAATGGCAAGTATATAGACTAAGAATTTATGAAAACTATTAATTTTCAAAACAAGAAATGAAGTATATTGAAATAAAAGAAAATTTGATCAATCAATATTTATGTGTACCTTATATTCCTTGGAAAAGAAATGGTTGGAGTCCCGAGCTAGAATCTCAACATGTTGATAAAATTTATCTATTTTTACTGGTCTGAAAATTAAATGTCACATGAGAACCGGCATGAGAAATTCCATCTTTTGTTGAATTCAGACAGAATAAAAATTTCACACCTTAGTTAAATATATCTTTGTTAAATATGTGTCTTTCTATGTTGTGATGTTACACTATTGTTTCAGATAAGGGTGAAGGTTTGGTACCATTAAAACGTTTAAACCTGCTGCAATTGTTTGCACCTGTCCTAAGTCAGGAATCTGATGTTCAGTAGTTGTCATTTGTTGATGTGGTTCATAAGTGTTTCTCGTTTTTTATATAGATTAGACCTTTGGTTTTCCCGTTTGAATGGTTTTACACTGGTCATTTTTGGGGCCTTTCATAGCTTGCTGTTCAGTGTGAGCCAAGGCTCCGTGTTGAAGACCGTACTTTGACCTATAATGGTTTACTTTTATAAATTTTGACTTGGATGGAGAGTTGTCTCATTGGCACTCATACCACATCTTCTTATATCTCTTTAAACTGTGAATGTTGTAAGGTTTTATTTCTACCATAAATTGTGTGTATTTTTTGTACTAATATAATAACATTATCTACAATTAAGCATTAAAGGTTGCAAAGCCTAACTTTTAATTCAATTATGATAGTAAAAAGTAAATAACTTGTAAAAAATTGATTCAGTTTTTAGTTTGTTATTTACTCTGATGAATTGTGTGTATATTCATTCTTGTCTTCATGATGGAAAAGAAAGGGTATGGTGTATGAATTCATGACATGCACTAGTTACACCTTAAAACAAATATAGAATGCTTGGCATTTTTCATTGGTCTTCATGAATATGTATATTTGTGTGTATGCTTGTCTTCATGAATATGTATATTTGTGTGTATGCTTGTCTTCATGAATATATATATTTGTGTATGCTGGTCTTCATGAATATGTATATTTATGTGTATTTTTGACTTCATTAATGTGTATTTTTGTCTATCCTAAACTCCACTAGGCAACTTTTACACTCAACTTAGGACTTACTCTGATATTTATCATAAGTGCTACAATTGTATTTAATGTTTAAGACCATATATATTTTACCTGCTTTTTCTTGTATCCTCATGATCAACAGAGATCTTTTTATTCTGTTTTACAACTTTCAATTGTACTAATTCTTTTTCTTTTAATTCAAATTGAGGTTTGAAGCAGCTGAAGGGAAACATATAACATTACAGGTGTTCTTTACAACTCTTGATCATGAAAAATTTAAAGTAAAATTAAACTTCTTGTAAAAAGTAAAAAAGATTAGATGCATTTTTAACAAAAGATTGTAAGGTCAACAGATGCCCCATTAACAATAGAAAAGCAATGAATAAAGTCTGTATTGTAATATAAAAAAGTGTGAGTAGCCGGATGAGGATAACATTATCTTGTTGTAGTATAACTTAAATGATGATCATTAGCGAACTGTAATGGGTGTCCAAAGCCATATGATTTCTATACATGCATGGTCTTTCTTAGTTTATTTGAACTTCACTTCATGGTTTTAAAATTTCAGCATTTTAGTATCATAACTCATTACAAGCTATTGTCATCAGCAAGAACCAAATTTTACCATTATTAGATGGCAAGGTTCATAATTCTGGAATGGTAATTGCAACAACACTTTTCACCCATTTTTTGAAAAGGTAGTATTTTTACAAAGCAGTTAAGTTCCACTCCTAAAGAAACTGATGTTCACAAAATAAAACATGTTTGCCATTCAGAGACAGTTCCAGTGTTTTGTCACTGCAGAAGAGTAAAGGTTGAAAAAAGAGAAGGCCCTTTTAAAAATCCTCATATTTATATAATAAAAAATATAAGTCCCATATAATGTGTCATCCCATAAAACATACCATGTTATCCAATGAAACGGTAATGTATTTAATACTTACACCATATGTCTTCTGTAAAGTATAACAACAACAATGGCTGCTATAATAAACACAATGAAAGCTAATGACACACCAGCAAGGGCTTCTGTCGTAGGAAAATCTTTAGCTAGAAAACAGACAACAGACTTAAATGTGAAAAGTATAACATAGGTGTTCTCATCAGACTCTGACTTCTTTTATTATTATTAAACTCAGTTTTACTGTGCATTTTGATGTATGTTTGTTTATTCCACATTGGCTAGATGCATAGGGGGAGGTTTGAGATCTCACAAAACATGTTTAACCCAGTCGCATTTTTGCTTGTGTCCCAAGCTCTAGCCTTTGTTAGTCTTCTGCATTTTTAAAAATTTTGGTTCATTTGTATGTTTCTGAGTTAAGTGTGGCGTTCATTTTGCTGAACTAGCATAAATTATTGTTTAGTGGCCAGCTGAAGCTCTCCTCCAGGTGCGGAATGTTCTCGCTGCTTTGAGGACCAATTGGTGGCCTTGGGGTGTTTTCTGCTCTTTGATCGGGTTGTTGTCTCTTTGACACATTCCTCGTTTCCATTCTCTATTCTATTATAAATATATTTTCTGTTAGTATCTGCTTTTTTCTATATACTTCACAACTGACTATTTATATTTTGTGGGAACTATATGAATAAAAGGATATGAGTGGTAAACATCAATGAGACAGCTACCAAATGACAAAAATGACAATTAGAGGTCAACAAAGTCTGTCTTCAAAGACAATTAGAGGTCAACAAAGTCTGTCTTCAAAGACAATTAGAGGTCAACAAAGTATGTCTTCAAAGACAATTAGAGGTCCACAAAGTCTGTCTTCAAAGACAATTAGAGGTCCACAAAGTCTGTCTTCAATGACAATTAGAGGTCCACAAAGTCTGTCTTCAAAGACAATTAGAGGTCAACAAAGTCTGTCTTCAAAGACAATTAGAGGTCCACAAAGTCTGTCTTCAATGACAATTAGAGGTCCACAAAGTCTGTCTTCAATGACAATTAGAGGTCCACAAAGTCTGTCTTCAAAGACAATTAGAGGTCAACAAAGTCTGTCTTCAAAGACAATTAGAGGTCAACAAAGTCTGTCTTCAAAGACAATTAGAGGTCAACAAAGTCTGTCTTCAAAGACAATCAGAGGTCCACAAAGTCTGTCTTCAAAGACAATTAGAGGTCCACAAAGTCTGTCTTCAAAGACAATTAGAGGTCAACAAAGTCTGTCTTCAAAGACAATTAGAGGTCAACAAAGTCTGTCTTCAAAGACAACTTTTCATGCAATTTGTCAACCCTATAAATTACTGGAGTCTATAACAGTTGTGACTGAATGTTACCAAGACTATCAATGATCTGACAACTACTATTTCCTTTAGGGACAAAAAAAATAATGCTGTTTTTAAATTCTTCTAATGAGTAAAAATTCATTATTTAGTTCAAATTTTTATTGCTTTCAAATTTTACTTCATGTAATAACTGCTGCTGATAAAACATTTGTAAAATTTGCATGAAAGAAAAGATGACACATACCTCCTGCTGGTACAATAACTGTTTGGTAAACTTCTGTTCCATTCTCAACAGTTTCTGCAAAAACCTTAAAAGAGCAAAACAAACCTCCATTAATCTTATTAACCTACAACAGTATCAATTTATGTAAAATTTTTGTTATCTCACATTGTAAGCAGTGTTATAGGGAAGAACCTAATTAATACTTCAAACATTTGGAATTGATCTGAGATGGCAAATTTAAACATTTCTTGCATATTTTCAACCACAATATAGCAACCCTTCTTTAACCGTAAAACCACCCATAGAGTTCTTTAAACAAATTTCTTATAAAAGCCAAGTTTTTGTCCTTTTCACTTTTGACCATCTCAAATAACTCTTTTTTCACCAAATTATTTTTTAATTATCAAGAGAAAACAGTCTTTCACCATCAGCAGAATCAATTATGAAAACTTAAAAAAAAAAAACAAACAAAAAAACTCCTTTACCACTTTATCATCCTCCTTTTTTGAAATGTTGACTTGGCCTATATTTTAAATCACATAATTTATACCTACACTAATATTAAGAAGAACTTGGTCTGGAACAATAATCTTCAGTTCATTTAGATTTTTATTCAGTTTGACCTAAAAATAATAGCATTGTTAATTTCTGTAATAATTTCAAATGATATTTGATTTTTCTAAAGAACTATTATTGCTGTTCTACATCCTAATGTAACAGAGAGCTGGCCTTCAATATGAAGTAGAAAATACATTTTTTTCCTTTATCCACTAAAATTGGTACCCACAAAAATAAAGAAATCTAAAGTAGTCAATATATGAAATTTTTACAAGTCCTCTGTGACCAATTTTATCTATCATTGTTTAAAAAAAAATTTTAAATTTGAAATTTTTATATTTCTGTATGATTTTGTGTCATGACAACTGAAATAAAAGGCATATCAAACTTACCATATGTATATCTCTGTATGTTCTTGTGTCATGTCATCTGACATAGTAGACCTTCTTTGTACTTACCACATTTCTTTCTCTGTATGTTATTGTGTCATGACATCTGACATAGTAGACCATCTTTGTACTTACCACAATTATATCTCTGTATGTTCTTGTATCATGATATCTGACATAGTAGACCATCTTTGTCATTACCACAATTCTATAACTGTATGTTATTGTGTCATGACATCTGACAATGAAGACATTCTTTGTACTTAACACATTTATATCTCTGTATGCTCTTGTGTCATGACATCTGATATAGTAGACTTTCTTTGTACTTACCACATGTATATCTCTGTATGTTCTTGTGTCATGACATCTGACATAGTAGACCATCTTTGTACTTACCACATGTATACCTCTGTATGTTCTTGTGTCATGACATCTGACATAGTAAACCTTCTTTGTACTTACCACATGTATATCCTTGTATGTTCTTGTTTCATGACATCTGACATAGTAGACCATCTTTGTACTTACCACATGTATACCTCTGTATGTTCTTGTGTCATGACATCTGACATAGTAGACCATCTTTGTACTTACCACATGTATATCTCTGTATGTTCTTGTGTCATGACATCTGACATAGTAGACCATCTTTGTACTTACCACATGTATACCTCTGTATGTTCTTGTTTCATGACATCTGACATAGTAAACCTTCTTTGTACTTACCACATGTATATCCTTGTATGTTCTTGTGTCATGACATCTGACATAGTAGACCATCTTTGTACTTACCACATGTATATCTCTGTATGTTCTTGTGTCATGACATCTGACATAGTAGACCATCTTTGTACTTACCACATGTATACCTCTGTATGTTCTTGTTTCATGACATCTGACATAGTAAACCTTCTTTGTACTTACCACTTGTATATCTCTGTATGTTCTTGTGTCATGACATCTGACATAGTAAACCTTCTTTGTACTTACCACTTGTATATCTCTGTATGTTCTTGTGTCATGACATCTGACATAGTAAGCCTTCTTTGTACTTACCACTTGTATATCTCTGTATGTTCTTGTGTCATGACATCTGACATAGTAGACCTTCTTTGTACTTACCACTTGTATATCTCTGTATGTTCGTGTGTCATGACATCTGACATAGCAGACCTTCTTTGTACTTACCACATGTATATCTCTGTATGTTCTTGTGTCATGACATCTGACATAGTAAACCTTCTTTGTACTTACCACTTGTATATCTCTGTATGTTCTTGTGTCATGACATCTGACATAGTAAACCTTCTTTGTACTTACCACTTGTATATCTCTGTATGTTCTTGTGTCATGACATCTGACATAGTAAGCCTTCTTTGTACTTACCACTTGTATATCTCTGTATGTTCTTGTGTCATGACATCTGACATAGTAGACCTTCTTTGTACTTACCACTTGTATATCTCTGTATGTTCGTGTGTCATGACATCTGACATAGCAGACCTTCTTTGTACTTACCACATGTATATCTCTGTATGTTCTTGTGTCATGACATCTGACATAGTAAACCTTCTTTGTACTTACCACTTGTATATCTCTGTATGTTCTTGTGTCATGACATCTGACATAGCAGACCTTCTTTGTACTTACCACATGTATATCTCTGTATGTTCGTGTGTCATGACATCTGACATAGCAGACCTTCTTTGTACTTACCACTTGTATATCTCTGTATGTTCTTGTGTCATGACATCTGACATAGCAGACCTTCTTTGTACTTACTACATGTATATCTCTGTATGTTCTTGTTTCATGACATCTGACATAGTAGACCTTCTTTGTACTTACCACTTGTATATCTCTGTATGTTCTTGTGTCATGACATCTGACATAGTAGACCTTCTTTGTACTTACCACATGTATATCTCTGTATGTTCTTGTTTCATGACATCTGACATAGTAGACCTTCTTTGTACTTACCACTTGTATATCTCTGTATGTTCTTGTTTCATGACATCTGACATAGTAAACCTTCTTTGTACTTACCACTTGTATATCTCTGTATGTTCTTGTTTCATGACATCTGACATAGTAAGCCTTCTTTGTACTTACCACTTGTATATCCCTGTATGTTCTTGTGTCATGACATCTGACATAGTAGACCTTCTTTGTACTTACCACTTGTATATCTCTGTATGTTCTTGTGTCATGACATCTGACATAGTAGACCTTCTTTGTACTTACCACATGTATATCTCTGTATGTTCTTGTTTCATGACATCTGACATAGTAGACCTTCTTTGTACTTACCACTTGTATATCTCTGTATGTTCTTGTTTCATGACATCTGACATAGTAGACCTTCTTTGTACTTACCACTTGTATATCTCTGTATGTTCTTGTGTCATGACATCTGACATAGTAGACCTTCTTTGTACTTACCACATGTATATCTCTGTATGTTCTTGTTTCATGACATCTGACATAGTAGACCTTCTTTGTACTTACCACTTGTATATCTCTGTTTGTTCTTGTTTCATGACATCTGACATAGTAAACCTTCTTTGTACTTACCACTTGTATATCTCTGTATGTTCTTGCGTCATGACATCTGACATAGTAAACCTTCTTTGTACTTACCACTTGTATATCTCTGTATGTTCTTGTGTCATGACATCTGACATAGTAAGCCTTTATTACACCATTTCTCTCCCTGTATACAGGAGGGCCAAATGTAATGAAGACCTGGCGTGGTTTTTCTGGATCTTTTTCATGGTTTACTCTGAGACGAGTTACTGGACCTGGTGCTATAATTAGTTTGTATGATAATGAAACACAAAATGCAAGAGACATAATTGAAGGAGATTCTTGTTCAAATATATTTGTAAAATAAGTTGGATGAATTTGTTAAGAGCATTTGCTCTATCTAATGCACTATTCAAGGAATTCTAATTCAATACATATATATATCCTTTGTGAAGCGGATCACAAATGTTGTCTCTATAAGAGTATTTAAATACAAAGAATACTGCCCATTTCATATCTCCTTCATTTTTTTTTTGTAACAAATTTATTATCAGCGGAGATTGTATATACTTAAGTTAGGGATCGACTAACTGAAACAACTGGTGAATATTTATCTTTTATTAAGCTTCAATCCTCATGCAAATTTTTTTTTCTATATTTATGATCTATCAAATTCAATTAAAAATGCATTATAAATTTCATATGTGTAGAATATATTTATTTCCCTTTATGATATGTACCTTAGTGTCATCTGCTAAAAAACATTGTCCTGAACATGTATGAAATATTTGCCACTGGATGTTAAGCAACCAACAATCAATCAATACATCTAACAAATCATCTTATATATTTTTAGAAAGATTGAAACACAATAATCAACAGTTATCCTAATGTGAAATACTCCGGATATCTACTTCATTAACATTAAGTAAAATGATTATGATTGGTACCTGACTGTTTAGTCCGAATATAATGTGGATGTTTATATTGTTTATTTCCTCTATCAGTATGAGCTATTATAGTAACTTCATATTGCCAGTACTCCTCTAAACCATACACAGAACACCTTGTCTGGTGATATACTGAAATATACAGAATATCTTGTCTGGTTATACACTGAAATATACAGAACATCTTGTCTGGTTATACACTACAATATACAGAATATCTTGTCTGGTTATACACTACAATATACAGAATATCTTGTCTGGTTATACACTGAAATATACAGAACATCTTGTCTGGTTATACACTACAATATACAGAATATCTTGTCTGGTTATACACTACAATATACAGAATATCTTGTCTGGTTATACACTGAAATATACAGAACATCTTGTCTGGTTATACACTACAATATACAGAATATCTTGTCTGGTTATACACTACAATATACAGAATATCTTGTCTGGTTATACACTGAAATATACAGAACATCTTGTCTGGTTATACACTACAATATACAGAATATCTTGTCTGGTTATACACTACAATATACAGAATATCTTGTCTGGTTATACACTGAAATATACAGAACATCTTGTCTGGTTATACACTACAATATACAGAATATCTTGTCTGGTTATACACTACAATATACAGAATATCTTGTCTGGTTATACACTACAATATACAGAATATCTTGTCTGGTTATACACTGAAATATACAGAATATCTCTTCTGGTTATACACTGAAATATACAGAATATCTCTTCTGGTTATACACTGAAATATACAAGGAAAGTATTCAATTTCATAAATGTTTTAAACACCATCAAGTTTCAAAATTTCTCATATTTAGTAAATGGGAAGTTGATAAAATTAGTTTTACTTTTATCATCTAGAAAACTTTTTGTTTTGGATGGAAGATATAAAGTGTGTTTACTCATCTGAGTTATCTGGGGGGGGGGGGGGGGGGGGGATATCATTGAGAAAGATCCTTGATTGATACCTGTCACTTAACCTTTAATCAGGCAATGGAACATTAAAATTAAAAAAAACATTAAAGGTTAGTTTTAAATAACAATCCATAAGTGGTCATAACACTTTGCCAAAAGTTCAAATCTTTTTCACACTAGTAATATAAAACGTTCATCTAGAAATTATTGTTAAATAAAATGAATGATTATATTGTTGTTTACACATATGAAAACATTTACCCGATGTTTGGCAATCTTTGGTTTCACTTTTTTCTCTATCCCTGACTTTGACTGTGTAGTTTGTAGGACCAGGGTAGGGATATGGTGGTTTCCATTCTACTGTCAGCATTGTAGTTTGTTCTAAAACACGACCAAAATTGGGTTGATTTGGCACTGAAAAATTCAGAAAAAATAAAACAAAATATTAAATTGAAATAAAACCTTAGCTCTAATACTAAAGTATAACAAAAAAGTTAGGAGAGTTAGATATGTATAGTGCATTTAAACGAAACTTTAAATTAAGAATATTCCTTGGGAAGTAAGTGACAAATAAGGCTAGTTGAATACTGACAGAAAATTGTATGCCTATATGTGTAATATAAAGTATTTACCTGCTATATCAGTTTGTTTCATGATAATAACAGGGTCACTGTTCCCGTACTGATTACTCGCAGTGACAGATAGAGTGTAATTTGTATATGGTAACAAATCAGCGATTTTCTCACATTCTGTCAGTGGTATTGCTCCAGATCTATATATGTTAACATATGGAGTATCTTCATCTAATGTCACATTATAAAATACTGTATCACTGTTGAGAAAACATGGCTGTTCCCAGCATACTGTCAAACTGTCTGATTCAATATTCCCCACTCTTACATTTTGAACTTCTTCAGGAACTGAAAAAAGAAAATTTTAGAATGAGAAATGAATATGAAAATATATTATAACAAAATTTTATTAAAATTACAACAGCAACAATCTATAAGTAGCTTCGACACAAATGGCCAACACTAAAAACTTAGTGCATATTGACCAAACTGTTGCTGAACTGTACTATATTAAGGAATGTAGTCCTGGACTTGGCCTGAAGTAACATTTAATGGTACATATAAAGAATACTTCATAAGCTTAAATTGATCACATTTGAAATCTAAATGTTGTGTTATGACAAAAAAAAAAAGGAAAATTGTAAAAGTCCAATTGACCATTTTGAGTTGTAAACCTCAATCTCTGGCAATTAGAATACTTCAATGTACGGCTATAAAGTATAAAACCTGATTCAACCAACTGCTTTAATTCACAATGTTCCTGTACATAGTCAGAAATATAACTGTCAATCACCAATTTCTGAAGTGAGGTTTTACCAGTATAAAAGGACATTGATTATCAACTGCATTATACAATATCATTAATTGTTAATCAGTAGGTAAAGCAGAACTGACCAGAATGAAGTGTAGTGACTTTGTGCTCTTTGCTCCAAACACCAACATTGTCTTCTACTGATTCCTGTACTTTGATAAAATAATCCCAGTAGGAAAACAGTCCAGAAATCTCACATGGATGCAATGGAAAACATTCCCACCATTCAGTAACATTTGTCTGGTTCACTGTACAAGAATGATCCAAAGATGTGTAGGGTATATTGTAGCTGATTGGTGCTTCAACATTGTCACATGGCACTTGAAACTCAAGTCTAATGGTTGTGTTGCTAGCAGTTATTTTACTTATCTGTGCCTGGGGTTCTGAAATGTCAAAGACAATAAAATATTTCCACAAAAACTGATATAAATATAATGTTATTAATAGATTCTCCATAAAACAAATCGGCAAAAATGAAAATGAAAAAAAAAAGACTTTTTAAATTGTGTTAAAAGTAAAATAATACATGATTCAGTTAATGACAAATAAAAACAAATGAAGAATAAACTGGTTTATCAGTAATTTGTAAATTTTCCCTCTGATCCTACTGCCTAATATTTGTTTAGACATGACTTGACACTCGACAATATAAGCCAAGGATGTCCCACTTCAGTGCAGCAACATCGCACATTCATGTCCATCCACATCAATTTATCAATGAAAGGCACACGACTTCAATCATACAACTGCACAACATCACAATGTACGCGTAAAAGAAGTTTTACTAACAAATTAATTTTATTTCATATTCTCAACCAAAAAAAACATATTGTTAAGACAAATTGCTTATAAAAAGAATAATGGCATTTTATTTTTTGAAACTGACTTCATCAGCTCAAATATCAGCTTGCCATGGCAAGCTATACAATAAAACTTTCCCCATTATGTCTGCAATGATAATTTGCTATATTATTTACCTGTTCTTTGTACCACTATAAGTCAATATAATTACACAGAATCTGATAATTTATAACAATTTTTTTTTACCATAAACATTTGTGTTATTTACTCCACACTTTTTAGGTCCAAATCCAGCCAATGTTTGAGCTGACACACACACATGGTACTCTTTCCAACAATCTAACTCTGTTAATATTACTGAAGTCATGCCATCTACAACAGTATATTTACACCCACTAGTGCCATTACTACAATAACTAACACTGTATCTTGTTATTACACCGTTAGTTACATTAGGTGGTGACCATGTGATATTCATGGTGGTCACATTCAGTACTGTGACATCCAATGAAGCGGGAGACTCTGGTTCTGAAAAAAAAAAAATTTTGATTCAAAATGAAGTAATTAACAAGATATTAGTCTTATAGGACATAAAATTAAGGAATAAAAGTACTATAGTTGAAGAGTTGTCACCGTCAATGGTGATGGTCCCAAAAGCCAGTAAAGCTGATATTTGCTACCGTCAAATCCCAATTGCCGGTGGCAACTCTTCAACTACAATACTATTATTCATATTCTAATGCACCACAAAAAAAAAGTACATTAGAACTTATAAAAATGTAAAAATTTAAGATAAATTTACATTCAACCAATCTTCATGAATGATTTTGTAAATTAACTTCGCAGCAAAACATTATGTCATTCAAACAAAAACGCTCCAACAAAAGGTTGTTTCCTTACTTATACCATTCAGATTTGAATAAAATTTCATTGTCACATAAAATTAATTGTCACAGTATTTTTAAGGTAGGTTATGTTTATTTTTTCGTTTTTATTGTATTAAATGAACATTTGTGGATTCCAGCAACTCAAAATGGTGATTTGATGATTTGACGGTAAAAACAACATGTGATTCTTCCAGCGGGAATCAAAATCTCCCGACTTCTATGCCCTATTCCGTCCCTCCCGTTAATAATTCAAGTCTTCCGTTTTTTTCACAAGTGCAACCCAAAAAAATTTGTCAGTCTCTATTTTTATTTCCATCGATGTCAACATTAAATAGGGTTTTGTGTCACTGATGGAGGTAATTTTTACCTGTAAATCAAAGAACTTGTATATTTATATGGCTTCACTTGACAGCTTGGGTGTCAAACATACTATCAATAAACGATTTTTACCTCTGGCATACTGCCGTTTTGTAATAAAAGCTTTGTGTATTTGAAAACACTTAAAAGAAATTTTGGGTTACTTCCCTCGTTTTATCATATTTTAAGTTACCCTCCTAAAGATAATGTAAATCGATAAAAGAATATAAATGAAAAACAAATTGAACAAAGAATCATATAATGATTTTAAGTGTCTTAAGACAAATAAGAAAATAATATTTGAAAATTATTTTGAGAGATCTATACATCTTTTCAATGCTTAAATTGAAATTTATAAATTCTGTAATTGACCTTAAACAATGTGTAAGTGCGTGTTTATGCTGAATCTGGCTTAATCAACATTAGCTAGAAAAGTGAGTTAAGACTTTGGAACCCAAAAACCTTTATTGGATGATGGAACTGAGATAGATGACAAAGATGAGTAAAGGAAAAAATCACATACAAATAGTTGACAAATATTTCACATGGTAACAATACAGAGAGAATCCATTGATAGTAACACTGTTATCATAAAAAAGGGGGAATATGTAGCTTTATCATCAAAATGAACACTGAAAACGTGGATAAACATGTCGATAAAAAATCTCCAGTTATGAGGCCCAAACTCCAGCTGAAAATTTTCAAATCTCCAGTTGTGACTTGACAACTCTGTCACATGTTGTTTATGAAGTTAGTACTAAGTTACAGCATCTCTAAATTCTTTTTTTCGTATTATTGTTACAGTGTAATTGTTTACTGTCTTATTGAAGTATATTTAGTCATATAAGTTCTATCAATTTCTATGTGACAGTCACAGTCTTCATTCAGTAATGTGATGTACCTTTTAGCTGGTGAGCAATTTTAAAATATTTGTAAAAGTTAAAGTCTAATTTTTGTTTGAATAAACTTGTAAATTAGACGTAAAGGCAGTTTTAAAGAAATTCCAGAATGTTTTCATTGAAATGACATTCATTTTAATTTGACTATGCATGCAAACATTGAAAATATATTCTTTAGTTTTTTTTTTTAAATATGAAAATATCTTACTATCTGCCTTTGTGATGACTGGTACTCTGTCTGTAGTGTTGGAACCAGCTTTATTCATAGCTGTTATACTGTAGTGATATACCATCGATGGTTTTAATCCTCCAATTGATAAATAGAACTGTGAGTTATTGTAGTAGACGTTAGCATTTCTATTATTGACCAGGCTAAAATTTGAGCACTGATACTTCTGCAAAAATGTAACTTGATTAATTTGGTGGTATTTTTTAATTTTCTCATAATTTGTTCATTGACCATTTTAAGCAGAATAGATCAAAGAAGCTAAAATTACAATTAAATAACTTTTGTCAAAAAAAAAAAAAAATTTGGATGAGAATCTAAGATTTTTTCACATGGATTTTACTTACCTAAGGAAACTTACAAGGACACAGGGGTACATGTATAAGGAACAAATCAAATAATAATAAATATAAGATAATAGATACAAGTTCAATCAAAACAAAGAATATGCATGTGCAAGATTATTTTATTAGTTGTTATGAGCTTTGAATTAGCTTTCATTAAATGAGAGTACTCTCAGATCTGTACTTTGTGTCTTGGTTGTTTTTTTCTGCTTTGAATTGATCATTGATCTGATGAGTTAAGCCCTTTTCAACTGACTTTTATAGTTCGTTCTTATGTTGTACTGTAACACCACTGTCCCAGGTTAGAGGGAGGATTGGGCGCCAGCAAACATGTTTAACCCTTCCACATTCTGTATATGCCTGTTCCAAGTCAAAAGACTGTAACTCAGTTTGTTGCTGTATAGCATATTTATTTTTCATTTATTCTTTTGTAAATAATTCAGGCTGTTAGTTTTCTAGTTTGAATTGTTTTATATACCTGTCATTTCAGGGCCTTTTTTAGCTTACTATGCAGTATGGGTTTTGCTCATTGTTGAAGGCTCTACAGTGACCTGGTTGTTAACTTCTACATCATTTGGTCTCTGGTGGAGAGCTGTTTCATTGGCAATCATACCATATCTTCTTATTTTTATACCAATAAAATTAAATACCCAATCAGAATCATTCCCGCTGCATTTTGGTTCAGGTTGTATACAGGAAATGTTGAAATTGTCTATGGCAGTAACATTACTCCTATCAAACAGGTGTACAGTGTAATCATAAATCCAACCATTACTTCTGATAGGCTCTCTCCATGTCAGGTTTAAACGGGTTTTTGCTGTAACAGTACTGATTACTACAGGGTACTCTGGTACTGTGGGAAGTCCATGACAAAAAGTTAATAAAAACATGCTGATATCGACGAAAAAAGACGCTTGTAATTAAAAAAAATTAAAATATTTGTCTTTAATCATTGAAAATATGTTTTTTTGTTGTGTCTTCTGTAATGTCATGTATTGAAATTCACACACTAAAAGCTATTTAATTTGATTCACTATGTACAATATATTAAGTTCAGATGTTTCCCAATTGATATACAGGTGAACAGATCTAGGATACATATGCTTACTCAAGCTAACACTGCTAGTAAAACACTAATAGTTTTAACAGCAAAAAAGTAAAATCAGAGTTGATAATGTTGACAAAACATATAGCATAATTAACAAAGTTTTCCATATGTTGAATTGATATCTTTTTCAAGTTTTATTGTGCGTCTCAATGAGGTTTATAAATGTAATCATAAATTTCCCTTTGTTTCAACATACTATGGGTTTGAGAGGAGTTCTTTGATACATGTCGATGGTTATAAATATAGGTTGGTTTCAGATAAATATATCACCAATGCACAATACTATTACAGTAAGAAATCATGAAGGCAAAAATTCCATCATGTTAAATACAATAGGACTTACATGTTTCGTTCACATGAACAAAGTACTGCCGAGATACTGTGTCATTCCAATTTTTAACATTCAACACACAACAGTCTCCAGGAACAGTTTTATTTACAGATAATAAAGGCGCTTTCAAAAAAAACATCTTTGTCCATGAGTTACAGGAAACATTTACATTGTATTTATCACTAAAGTTGACCCAGGAGATTGTAAACGACGATTCACCATAGATGACTGTGTAGTAATAGGGATCCACTGAAATAAGCAAAACAAAAGTTTAGTAGGGAACTATATTGTAGTCTTATATTTTTACTGATTTTCATTCAAAAAGTATAAACTGTAATTAAAGGGTTCTGTCTACTTAAAATAAAAGGACCTTTATGTATGGATGTTATTTTATGGTTCTAGAATATAAAACAATGAAGTACGTTTTAAGAAAAAGTCAAGTAAGTTTATTAGTTAATCATAGTGTGCGTGTGAATAAATGCAAATTTCATATTAAATATGCATGGATTTACCATTTAAATACCAAGAATTGTGGAAAGTTTCTTTTTTCTTATACTTAATTAAAATTAGAATTATGCCTTTGCTTGAAAATTGTTTGTTTATAAGAAGTTTTATACCAATCACAAAGTTATGGGGTAAGTTTACAGAATGCAAATTTATTTTGAAACAGTGAATGCATTATTTTACAAGTGAATATTTAAAGCACACATAATTATCCTAATATGTTTAAAGAGGATATATAAAGTATTTATTACGAAATTTTAATTCATAAGCTCAAGAAGTCCTATTGTCTATACAATGTGTCCCGCTACAATTAACTCAAGTTAGATTTTTAAAAACAAAGTCCGATTGCAAACTTTCATTAAATTTAATTCAGAAGAAAGTGAAAAGCTCATTAAATCTTAGTTCATTTATTGCCTCTAAAATTAAATTGACTGTGTTTTTGTATGCTGCTAATGAGCAATGACTGATTAAAGCTCAAATATTTAGATAGGTTGCATGTTTATGTATAATGAAATAAGTATGTATTTAAACATTTTTAATAAACAAGTGACCAATTCTTAAAAAGAATAATGTCATAAACTATGAAGAAGCAAAGATATATTGTCCCCAATATCCCCTGTCTGATTCACTGACACTATGAAGAAGCAATAAAGACATATTGCCCCAAATATCCCGTCTGATTCACTGACAAGGTCAAAATTAGACACCTTCTTAAATTTGAGTATTAAAGAGACTGAGAAGTATTAGTAAAAAATATTACAATGATTTTACATTTATTCATAATATCAAATTGTTATTCAGTGCTAAAAAAATTGTTGAAGACAATTTTAATACAATACTATAAAAATCCATCAAAATTGTTAAGTTTTAGCCATCCTTAAGACATTTATAATTAATTTAGTCATGTACAGAAATACACCATAATAGTGTTAGTAAACTCATAGAAAACATATGGAGCTGGCATGCAATAAATTTTTTGTAAAGATTGAGAGACTTTTGGAAAACTGCTTTCAGTGAATTTAATTCATTGGAAATTGGCTCTATCCATTTTCTGATTTGCTTTATATTTTTATACTTACACTGTGTCTGAGTACAAACATTGGAAAAAGTACGAGGATATTTACTAATTTCTGAGAAGGAAACAGTATAAACACTAATGTTATAACAACTCTCTGGTACCAGTCCTGAAATTTCTGTCTCTGTTTGTGTGACATCCAAAGACTTGTTCACTTTCATTGATAACGGTCTTGTGTTGTTTTTGTAATCAAGTCTAAAACTATCAAAATGTCCTTCACTAGGGTGTTTAATCAGCAGGTATATTGAAGTGGATGTAGTTTTCACAACATCTGTGGATGAATCAGGTCGTTTTGGCGCTGTAAAATTCCAATTATAATATCATCATTTAATCATAACTAATAAATAAATGCAATAAAATAAGTGTTGCAAGGAATTAAAAAAAAATATGTAACTTATATTAGACCTATACAATTGCTTTTATCTATCATTTGAATGCAACTTAGAGAAATCAAAGGGTGGAAGTGCTGAAAAGGCAGTTTCTTAAGTTCAGACAGTTTACTGCATCAACTAATAACTTTTCAGAATAAACTATCCACAATTTAGATTTTAAATTTAAAACTTTTGATTAAATCAAGTAGAAATTTTTACAGATCCATGAGGTTTTTTTGTGAAATTCAGCATTTTTAAGAGTTACAAATTATATAGCTTTTTAATATACAATTTTTTTTTATTATAAATAGTGTCAAATCTCTTCTTTTTTTTATTATCTTGTACTGATGATGAACTACCATAAGGATCTTATATTTTGCAAGAGTCACTGACTAATTACCTTTTCCATATTTATCTCTCTCAGTCCCCTAAAATAAATCTTACCCAAAATTGGTCACCTATTAGAATGACCCTTTTATTATTTCATTTGGATGAAGTCATTTCTTCTAAACTCCAAGTACAGAAAAAGAATGTCTACCACGATAACTATAAATGAGATTTCAATAGACAAGTCATAATACTTGTAATTTTGCATGTAAAATGTTGTTTTTTGTTACCAAATTTTAAACTATCTTTTGACTGCCAATCATTTCATGATCAAAACAAGGCAGATGGGAAAACGTTTTATAGTACACTTGTTTACATTCCTTTGCAGGTTATTATAGTTTTTTTGGCAATATAGTAGTCTAAGAATTATTTTTGTACACTTTCAAAGAGCTGCATAACTAAATTGATTATCATTTTTTGCTAGAAAATATGAAAAATGAGCTTGCTTCTTAACTAAATGCCCCCCAAAAATGTCATGATACGCATGAATAGCTGCAGTTTTATTGTTGTCTTCTTTAAATTACTTTTACAAAGTTTTACAAATAATTGCAATTGAGTATAATGAATTGAAAAAAAGGATAGAAAACCAGTCAGCATATAGCATCAATCTATTTTGGCATCATGGCTGTATACATGTAGTATTGGTTGAAGTTGTTAGACATATTCATATGCTTTATCATTTTTTTATGCAGAAAATTTTTTGTCTTTGGTATCTGTGAAAAATATCTGCTAACCATGGTGAAAGTGCTCATTAATAAAAGCACAATAATTGTGAAAACTGTGATTACAGATTTTTGTTTAAATAAAATTTTATTATTTTCATTATTAATTACACAAAAGGGATACTTTGACGCTATGCATATGTCATTGAATCAAATAGCAATGAAATAAAAAAAACTTGTACACTTGAATTCACATTTATAGGTTTTTTTTAGACGGCAGGAAAAAATATTATGCGATGCATATTACGGTTTATTTCACATTTCTGATCCAGGACGTACATAACTACATGAAATGCCACCACTTTTTTTATTTATTCTTTTTATCTAAATTTATCTATTTACCTCTTAGGGTTGACTTGGATATAGAAATATGGCCATCCCAGTACCATATTCACAAAACACAACAAGATTTGAATGAATACAAGTAACTGTCATTGTGAATAGTTCATGAAATTAAAAATCATGACAAAGACTTCTTTGTAAAGAACAGCAGTAAAAGTATGTTCCATTACTCTCATTTTGTGAAAGTGTAATTTGCTTTGATTTTGTTCAGAGTTTATCTTCCTTATTTCATCTTGGTGGCATGAAAAAAATTACAAAGGTTACCATATAAGGATATGACAGTTATTTGTACAAAACTACTGCTGAATAAAGATCAGTCACCCCTTTAAAATTTAATGTTAAATGTTACTTGCAACCTTTTTAATCATTTGAACCCTAAAATACGGAATTTCAAACCAAAATGTGCTTAATCCTTTCTGGGAACATTGTCCATGAAAAAATTGACAGGATGTACCTATATCCAGCCTTATACCAGATTGGTGTAGGGGAGGATATTTCGTGTGGAGGGAAACAATTTTTTTACAAGTCAATATTTATTTAAAAAAGAAGAGCACATATGCACCTATAGTGTCCTTTAATTGTCAATGCTAGTTTACAAGAACACGAATGGATGGTGCATGACAAGAGATGTGAATATATACTAGTAGTATTTGGACCATATGAGATGAAGGAAAACTTACTTGTACAAGCCATTTGTTCATTTGGACCAATTGATCTGCCATTTTGTGTTATAACATGAATCTGAAATTTGTAACAGATTCCTATCTCTAGCTTATTGATTCTAAAGGTTTCATTGATCTTATGACCACTGACATCAAAGGATCTTGTTGTTGAATGGTCTTCTGTTCTAAATGTGAATTCCACTTTTGTGAACTCTTCGTCTTTTGTTGAATAGACAATTACTTGTAGCTTAATGGCTTTAGGGTTTCTGTCTGTGATTGTTACGTTGAAATATGAACCTACAAAACGAAACAATACTAATTACGTCTTTTCCCTTTTTAATTTTGAAACAATTCATCTCTATTTCCTTTGTGAGAATATGTAAACTATGAATTTCATAGGCTTGAAAGTAAAAGTGTTTAATAATAATAATATTAAATTTCTTATTAATATACTAGTAAATTTCCTTCATGCTAAGAACTAGTTTTATAAACCATAAACATTCCATTAGTCTAATTTTTTCAGTGGAATTAATGTTGACTAATTTGTGTTTTTAATTTGCATTTTTGATAATTTATCATTATAAATCATTGCTTTTATTTTGGAATTATAGTAAGAATTGCTAAGGAATATCTAGGGACGGAAGATCTGTTCTACTCTTACTCAGGTTAACCTCTAACGTATATTGAGGGAAGGGATAGCTGCTATATTGTGACTCATGTCTACTGCTAAGGTATATTTAGGGAAGAGAGATCTACTAAGGTGTGACTCATATCTACTGGTAAGGTATTAAGTGTAGGAAGATCTGCTATAATATAACTCATCTCTACGGCCAATACATATTTACAGTAGGAATATCTGCTATACTGTAAAATTTCTCTACTGGTAAGGTAAATGAGAGGTAGGGAGATCTGCTATACTGTAACTCATCTATACTGCCAAGGCAAATGAGGGGTAGGGAGATCTGTTATACTGTAACTTATCTTTACTGGTAAGGTAAATGAGAGGTAGGGATATCTGCTATACTGTAACTCATTTATACTGCCAAGGTATGTGAGAGGTATGGATATCTGCTGTACTGTACCTTTGGTACCAGTTAAAAAACTGTAAGTTGTTGTATCATAGAATTGAGAAGTTGCTTCAATAGATGATGAAACTGTTGTTATTGGTTGCTCTGTAGTATTTTGAAGGGAATCAACTTTTGTTGACTGACCAGTTGACATTACAAACTCCTTAGATTTGTAAGTAGTGTTTGTTTGGGTTGTTGATGTTGTTACTAGCTCATCATCAGTCAATATTGTCCTTGAGATATTACTGTCTGAAGAACTTGGTCCATAAGAGGTAACTGTGGATTCACTGTTTTGCTGTATAAAACTTTGAGTTGTCATTTCATGTGTTATATTCTTGACTACAGAGGAACTTGATGACTCATATTTTGATACGTCCTCACTAATCTCTTTAGATGGTATAGAGTTTGGAGATGTCAATATGTTTGACATTTGATCCGTTACATTTTTGCTCAAAATATCATCAGCATCTACCCATACAGTTGATGAAGACAAATCTGGGGTTGTCAAATCACTTGACATGTCTTCAGTAATTGTTTTTTCAATATAAGTTTCACTTTGAGATGATGGCTCATCTGATATAATACTTGATTCTTCAATTTTGACAGTTGATGACAAAATGGGAGATGTCAATTCAATAGCCATATCATGTGACACTGTACTTTCATCTGACACTGAAAAGTCAGGATTTGAAATCTCTCTCCACATGTCTCCAGTAACTGTATTCAAATCCTTTGAAACTGATAAACCTAGAGATGACTCTTTGCTTGGATTGTATTCAGTAACTGTACTCAGTTCTTCTGATACTGGTAGACCTTTAGATGACACTATGCTTAAACTCTCTTCAGTGACTGTACTCAGTTCCCTTACTACTGATAAACCTTGCGATAACCCTTTACTTGTATTTTCTTCAGTAACTGTACTCAATTCTTCTGTAACTGATAAACTCTGAGATGACCCTTTACTTGCATTGTCTTCAGTAACTGTACTCAGTTCCTCTATTACTGATAAACCATGAGATGACTCTTTACTTTGAGTCTCTTCAGTAACTGTACTCAATTCCCATACTACTGATAAACCTAGAGATGACCCTTTACTTGGATTGTACTCAGTAAATGTACTCAGTTCCTCTGTAACTGATAAACCTTGAGATAACTCTTTACTTGCTTTTTCTTCAGTAACTATACTCATTTCCTCTGATTTTGAAAAACCTTGAGATGACTTTTTACTTGGATTGTCTTCAGTTACTGTACTCAGTTCCTCTATTACTGATAAACCTTGAGATGACTCTTTGTTTGGATTGTCTTCAGTAACTGTACTCAGTTCCTCTATTACTGATAAACCTTGAGATGACTTTTTACTTGTATTGTCTTCAGTAACTGTACTCAGTTCCTCTATTACTGATAAACCTTGAGATGACTCTTTGCTTGGATTGTCTTCAGTTACTGTACTCAGTTCATCTATTACTGATAAACCTTGAGATGACTCTTTACTTGTATTGTCTTCAGTAACTGTACTCCGTTCCTCTATTACTGATAAACCTTGAGATGACTCTTTGCTTAGATTGTCTTCAGTAACTGTACTCAGTTCCTCTATTACTGATAAACCTTGAGATGACTCTTTACTTGTATTGTCTTCAGTAACTGTACTCAGTTCCTCTATTACTGATAAACCTTGAGATGACTCTTTACTTGTATTGTCTTCAGTAACTGTACTCAGTTCCTCTATTACTGATAAACCTTGAGATGACTCTTCGCTTGGATTGTCTTCAGTAACTGTACTCAGTTCCTTTATTACTGATAAACCTTGAGATGACTCTTTACTTGTATTGTCTTCAGTAACTGTACTCAGTTTCTCTATTACTGATAAACCTTGAGATGACTCTTTGCCTGGATTGTCTTCAGTAATTGTACTCAGTTCCTCTATTACTGATAAACATTGAGATGACTCTTTACTTGTATTGTCTTCAGTAACTGTACTCAGTTCCTCTATTACTGATAAAACTTGAGATGACTCTTTGCTTGGATTGTCTTCAGCAACTGTACTCAGTTCCTCTATTACTGATAAACCTTGAGATGACTGTTTACTTGTATTGTCTTCAGTAACTGTACTCAGTTCCACTAATACTAAATTGTATTGAGATGTCAATTTATTTAGTATCTCACTAGTTTTTGTTTTTTCTGTAGTAATCAAGTTTCTTGAGGTTTTTATGCTGGGTTCTGGTGATGATGTAACTATAGCAGATGAATTATCAATAACAGAAGTAACAAAAACAGGTGACTGACTGCTTAAACTTTGAGATTGTGTGAATGTTTTGGGAGGCTTATCAGTAGGAGGAGCAAAATCAATCGTTGATGATGTCTCCCACTCAGCTTCTTCACTGGCTGTTATAATTGAAGTTAACACTCTTTCAAATGTTGAAGATGCTTCTGTCACAAAGTTTAATGTAGGATAATTTACCTTTGTATCCATGCTAGTAGATAGAGTGTGAATAGGGACAACTGTATTGTCATGGGAAGTTGAGCTAGTGACTGATTCAATATCATGTGTACCTCTCTTATCATTTGATGTTATGTCAACTGTAGAAATACTGTTATTGCCAGAAGATCCTACTTCTGTGGCTGTTGCAGCACTAGAATTTAAAGTAGTAGTTTTCATTGTTGTATTGAAAGTTAAAGTAAAACTGCTGTTTTTCTTTTCTTTGTAAGAATTCATATCATATGTTGAAGAGAGTTTATCTGACATTACATTATCCGTTGACACAGCATTAGAGGTGACAAGATCTGCATCCACATAGGCTGTTGTTACTGATGACTTATTTGAAATGCTTTTATATAAAGGAGTCCCTACTGACACACCAGAAGACAAATAAACCATAGAAGATTTTTCTCTTTTTTTTACAATTGTTGTGTTGAATAAGGTTCTACGAGATGATGATCCTGTTTTTAGACTATCTGTACCAGTGACAAATGTTTTAAATTGGTCAGTTGTTATCTCACTTGCCGATTCCAAAACAGAATAATCTGCAGATGGAATTTCTGCTTCTGCTATTGTTGTTGTTGTTGATACATGTTGTTTTGATAGAATGATTGATGAAGATGTGCTTCCTTGCATGTCTGTTTCAGAGGATGAGGTGGGAGACAAAAGATCAGAAAATGAAATGTCACTTTTAGTACTATTAACAGAATTATCTATTATGTCGCTGCTATACTCTGCATTGACAGAAGACAATTTTTGTTCATGTACTGTAAATAAACTGGTATTCCAAACATTAGTAGAGAGATCAGAAGAAGATGAATCACTTTTACTTTTAACAACAGAATTTATCAGTAAGTCACCACCATTTGTCACATTAATAAATGATGCGTTTTCCTTTATGTTAAAAGACTCAGTTGTATTTTTTGTTTCAAAATCCCCAGTCAGAGTGCCATCTTCAGTGTTAAAATATAACTGAGTTGTAGTGGTGATGGCTTTAGGTATTGGCTCTCCTGATGTTTGTGTTGACAGCTGTTGTAGCTGATTTCCTGTTCCCCGTGTCAGAGAGGTGATAGCTAAAGAACAATGTTATTATAAAAAAGACAGTGCACAATTAAGTAATTGTTAGGCTTTGAATATATATACTAATAATTGATTTACAGAAGAGGTTGTGTTTGAGTTTCATAAGACTCCCTTAATTTCTAAGATTAAAATTTATTGTATATCTGAGTAATACATTTATCTTGAGATGCTATTGATATATAAGAAACCTAACTCATTAGATTAATCTGATGAATGGTTTGATACACTAAAAATAGTTTAAATTAACCAAAAAAACAAAAAAAAACATAAGAAAAATAAAAGAAACCTAATGATAAAGTAGTGGTATTGTGAATCTCACACAAATGATTACCCTCTCCATCCATTTTATCTTCCTGACGACTAACTCATTATTATATTCATATACAAGTCATTGTATGGTGCATTACATTTATGTAAAATTATTTTGAAATATATTCAATGATTTGGATCAAGTTGTGTTACACGATTCATGGACAAACAAGACAAAAATTAAGACATTATAGTATAAACCCCCTATAATGTTATGTACACTGGTATGAATAATGCACAAATAATCTTGATATTTGAGAGATTCTAACTTTTGTTGAATAACATAATGAAAAATATATTCTGAAATCCCTTAATCAAAACTCAATATTTGCACTCTACTATGGATTTATTTATATTCACTGGTACCAATTTTCGTGGACTGAAGAAAAATAACATTCTTGTTGATATTTGATTTCTTAGTTTTGCAAAAGTTTGTATACAAATCTATGAGAAAGTAAACTTTGTTGAATATTTGAATTCGTATATTTATCTATATACCCTAGAAATCCGTGAAGTTGTACTCTAAGAATAATATTGAATCTACAGTATTTGCAGTGCACAAAATAAATTGAAAATCCCTGACATTTCCTGCAATTAACATCAATTCTACTTATATAAAAAAAACCATTGAGAATAAATAAAGAACTGTATCTTACCTGACTCTGTAGATGTTTGCAGCTGTTGTAACGTTGTTGATGTTAAATAAGAATCTTTTTCACTAATAGTTGTCATGGAAACCTTCACAGATGGAGCTGTTGTCAATTCACCCATACCTAAAGGATTTGTCTCTGATTTGTCAGCTGATTCAGTTATAATTACCGACTCTGGTGTTGTTTCTATTGATATTCTGGTTCTGGTTAAATCAACACTTTGAGAACTGGTCCCATTCCTTGATATAGTTGTTTTCTCTGTCTTTGTCTCAGTTAGCGTCTTATGTTCCTGTTCAGATTGATTTGTTGTTTTAATGACTGCTTCTGTTAATGACTTTGTGTTTGAATGACTCATCATAGGGGCTGTTGATAAGGATACTCTATAAGTATTAGACTCAGGAACATCAGATTCATTTTGACTCCTGTCTGTTGTGAATTTATTCTCATCATAACCTGGTGATGCGGAATCTGAAGAAACGTCAACTTTTATGGTAGTTATGTGTTTGGGTACAGTTCCAGTAGTGGTTTCAACATCCAGTTTTGTTTTAAAAGTAGATCCTTGTACATTATAAATGAGAGATTTCTTACTAGCAGGTTGATCAGTTGTAGAATCAGTTATTATGGTCATTCCTGTATGCAAATTTTCCTTCAATTCAGATGTCAAAGTTTCTGATCTTATATCATTTGTGGGTAAATCTTGTTCGAATCCAACACGGGTTACTGATTGGACTTTTTTATCTACTGATGTTTCATTTGACAAATTTTGGATCTTGTCATATGTTGACTCCACAGTAGTTATTTCTGTCAATACTTTCACAGACTGACTCTCTACGTCTAAGACCCCAGTTGTTCTAGGTTCAGTCACATTATTAATTGAGGAAGTCCCCTTTGATTCATCTACTGATAAATCTGTATTTACTTTAACCTCTCTTGAACCATCTGATTCTGTATTATAACCATGACCATTACCACCATCATCACCATCAACATCCCTCACAGTATTAGTGGTTATAGATACTGGAGTAGCTAAAGTGGCAGTAAAGGAAGGTCCTGTTCTACTTTTGATACTGTCTGGTTTAATGGTAGGTTGTGGGCTCTCTACAAATTATTAAAGCAAAATCATTTGTATGACCTTACACATGTTGCACTGCATCTGATTGTTGAAAAAAATACAACACACGATTTGAAATGTCAATAATTTATAGTCCCCCAAAATATTTGTAAAACCAAGATGTGAATGTATATCAAGCTCATATGGAAAAGCATATTCTATTCTTTAAAAGATCATGTCTTATCAATTTCCTTAAAAATGACAATGATATTGCTACCAAGTACCAAAATTCTGATATATTTTAAAATTGATGTTCAAAACCATTATTCCATGAATTAAACATGCAATTCAAAAATCTAAACTGTAAAATTATAAATATACTAACTATTTACAACTAGGCGAATCCAACGTCCATATCTAACTTTGTATCTGTTAAACTTAACAGTACAGATATATTGTGCTGCATCTGATCTTAATAATCTGGAGATTTTAAGTGAAGAACCATTCACCAGTTCAACTCTACCAGTAAAATATTTATTGATATCAGCATGACTTTTATTAAACTGTTCAATAATATTCGTATATTTCTGGCTTTTCCACTGTATGGAATATACTTCATCAACTTGTCTTTCTGACAAATTTACACCACATTTAATTATTACGTTGCCACCCTCCTGTGATGTGTATACATTTCGTGCATCCCTTTCACCTAAAACAAAAACAACAATTATTGGAACTTTTTAGATTTTAATACACCTAAACTTGGAATTTTTACTATAAATAAGGAGGTCTATATTTTAATGAAATGCAAAAGCAATCCATGATACCAACTTCCATTTCAGACATTTCTGGACCAAGACAAATCAGCACTTCATTTTTTGTCTCTATATTTTCCCATTATCATTAAAAATGATTTAACAATACTGTAAAACAAGAATTTTGATAGTGGTATTAAAATTCTTACATAAAATATGCCGCGTGTAAATGTACTTGAATAATCATATTTAATCAAATCATTAAAAAAATTGTTTGATCCCTTACAATTCTAAAGACAACAAACATGACAAACTAGAACTGTCCCCATAGCTCGACTAATACCCCCATACATGCATTTTAGTTGCTACTGTGAAAAAAAGAGAAGAAAAAATACAAAACATTTGCTTCTGACGACCCTGGGTATAGTAAACTCGATATATTATGTCCCAGACTAAATGTAAACCAAATAAATACACAAAATTTCCAAACAGAAGACATGTATTAAATCTAAGAAAACCTAAATCAGTATCAGGCCACTGAGGCCTCAGAATTAATAGATGTTTATAATAAGGTCTGAAAGCTTAACAGTGGAATATAAACATAGTAGCTTTATGAGGTGCCGATTTGTCTTGATACCGAACTGCCTTTCTCGGGTGCCGATAAGTCTTTCACCGATGCCGAATTTCATGATGCCGATTTGTCTCAAGAGGCGGATTTAGATGGGGGGTCAGGGTGCCCGGGGCCCACCTTTTTTGGGAAAAATTTGGTTGATTATATAGGGAATCACTGAAGCATGACTGGAGCGGGCCCCCTCTTAGGTAGTCAGTGGGCCCCCACTTATGAAAATTTCTGGATCCGCCACTGGTCTCGGTGCCGTACTTTTGAAATCTCAGTGTGAAATTTCAATTCTCAGTGTGTAATTTTGAGTTTTCAGTGTGGGTTTTTCATTTTTTTCAATCTCGGTGTCTTTTTGAATTCTCAGTGTTTTTCATCTTTTTATTCTCAGTATGATTTTTTGAAATCTCAGTGTGTAAATTTTTCGTAAAAATAGCTTAAACATAGTTTTGACAAGAACAGCTTGCCATAGTTATGTTGTTTTAAGTGTATTTTTATGATAAAATGTTTGATGAACAATGGGTGTTGGTAACTGATTGTCATTATAATAAATACATTGTTTTCTCTCCGAATATGGAATAAAAAATAACTGTCTTTGTTTCTGCAATTTTGTGGTTTATTATTGACTTTTGAATAACTGACGATTACTTCATCTGGTAGATGTGTGATTCAGATGTAGAATTCAATCAAAGACAGAATAGTAAAAATATATAGGATCATAAAGGTTGGAAGCTTTTAGATTACATTAAGTTACACGACTGTAGGTCATTTAGGATCCTAGAAATGAACTAAAATGTAGACCTAAATGTATATAAGCAAAGAAAGATGGAATGCTATATGAAAGGATTGATGCTAATGCACTGGGTGTTCAATCTATCAACCATAGAAAAACAGGAGTGCACATGCTGGAATGTCTGGTCTGTTTTTCTTATCATTGAATTTATGTTGAAATCCTGTTATATGAAGGTTTAAGGGAGCTACCATTTGATTTTAATGGGGGGGGGGGGGGGGGGGGGGGGGGGAGTAGTTATTCAAAAGTCAATAATAAACCACAAAATTGCAGAAACAAAGCCTTTTTTTTTACTCAAAACTCCTGTCCTGTCTTTTTTTTCAAATTTTAACATTGACCAATGAACCATGAAAATGAGGTCAAGGTCTTATGAACCCTGCGAGACAGACATGTACAACTTACAATCATTAAATACGCCAAATATAGTGGCCCTATAGCTTATAGTATATGAGAAATAGACCAAACCACAAAAACTAAACATTGTCCAATGAACCTTGAAATAGAGGTGAGGGTCAGTTGAAACCTGCTAGTCGGATATGTAAACCTTTCAATCATTCGATCCATACACCAAATATAGGTGCCCTAATGCTTATAGTTTATGAGATATGGACTTGACCGCGTAAATTTAACCGTGATCATTGATCCATGAAATGAGGTCGAGGTCAGATGAACCCTACCTGACGGACATGAATACATTGCAAAGAACCCATTTATACCAAGTATAGTTATCCAATTACTCATAATAAATGAGTATTTCACTCAACAAAAAAACTGTAATTTTTTTTCAAGCAGTCACTGAACCATGAAAATGAGGTCAACGACAATGGACATATGACAAAACGGAAACTTCGTAACATAAGGTATCTATATACAAGGTATGAAGCATCCAGGACTTCTACCTTCTGAAGTATAAAGCTTCAAACAAAAAGTTTACGCCGTCGCCGCCGCCACTGGATTGTTATCCCTATGTCTCACTTTCGGTGACTTTCATCACAGGCGAGACAAAAATCATATTAATGAGATATACACATAACAACTGAGCTTAGTACTGGACTTACAATCCGAGAATTGTTAGATACCAAGGTAACAGTCTACAAGAAGATATGTCAAACCCTCCAGAGACACATTATTCCAACTCCTCTAAAACAACCAATCATTACTCCAAAATACAGCTAGCTTAGCAGAGAAGCAGCAGATACCAATTTTATAGCTTGGTTTGACCAAGCGGATAATTGAAGCCACAACTTCCCACACAAAAGTTTAGTAAAAGATCACATTTAGTGTCTGTTCCAGGGTAGGCTATCATTTCTATCAATTAACTTTTTTGTAGATGAAACGTGCGTCTGGCATACAAAACTTAAATCCTGGTATCTATGATGAGTTTACTCACAGGATTCAGATGTTAGTGGAAAGTGTGATCTGTCCAGTATTTTTAGTAATTTCTGTTATCCTATTTATGTATCATCAAGGTTGGTCGTAAAATATAGTTCATAGTAACCTACTTTTGGTTGAAGGTTTTTAAGATCCTCTAGGAACATTCCTAAACTAAGTTGAATGATTGAAGGTCTTTGAAGTGAATATGTACAGATTGAGAACATTTTTACACTAATGTCCTGACAGGTAGGAAAATGATAAATACTCTTTCATTATTGGATGGATTAACTTTAAAATGGGAACATAGCCAGAATTAAACATTTTTTAAATGAACATCTGAAAAATAAACCTTGTAAAAATTTAATCATTTTTAAATGATTATTAAAATAAAAATAGAAAAAAAGAAGTTTTAAAGGTAAAACAAGAGTACACACGCTGAAATGTCTCGCCTGCTTACTTATGATTGAATTAATGTTGAAATTCTGTAATATGAAGGTTTAACTACAAGTATCACATTAACTTAACATTATCAGTGACAGGGGTGTAGCTAGGCCAATGTGTACTCATTGCCGGAAGAAGAATTCATACGCCAGGGGGTTTGAGGCCAATTAAGGCCCCCAGAAGCTCTTGGATAAATGGTGCAAAATCCTGCATTCTCGCAATTTCATGAGGCTTAAAATGACCTCACAGAAATGTTATTTTCATGAGTAACAAGTCAACTTTGGAAAATAAATTTGAAAAAAAATATCAATTAAAGAAAAACAAACAAGTACTGTTGGCTTAGAAATTTGTTTTTTCTGATGTGTAGTGGGTTGAGCTTGATTAGGTATTAAGTACAATTAAAATATATGGTGCCACCACCATATACTTTAATTGTTACCAATAATAACAAGAGGCTCTCAAGAGCCTGAATCGCTCACCTGTAATTTTTGCTTAAATCTTTCATCAATGATTATTTTTGCTTTTTAATATATATTAATGAGTGGCTTAAAAATGCCATTTAAATGTTCTTTGTGTCTGTCATATTTTCTTCAAAAGCAAAAAAATGCATTTTACCCCTATGTTCCATTTTAGCCATAGTGGCTATGTTTCTTGACGTCCAGGAAATAAAAAACAAAATGTATAATAGATACTCTGAAACTCATTCAGCCCATATTTGGCTGAAATTAATTCAGCAGTTTCAAAGGAGAAGATTTTTTAAAGTAAGCAAACTAGATGAACAAATTGTGAAAAATTGTCTTTAAAGGACAATAACTCCTTAAGGGATCAACTGGCAATTTTGGTCATTAAACTAATTTGTAGATCTTACTTTGCTGAACATTTTTGCTGTTTACAGTTTATCTTTATCTATAATAATATTCAAGATAATAACCGAAAACTGCAAAATTTCCTTAAAATTACAAATTTAGTGGCAACCCAACAATGGGTTGTTGGATTCATCTGAAAATTTCAGGGCTGATAGAACTTGACCTAATGAACATTTTTACCCCATGTCAGATTTGCTCTAAATGCTTTAGTTTTTGAGATATAAGCCAAAAACAGTATTTTCCCCCTATGTTCTATTTTTAGCCATGGCGGCCATGTTTTTTTTGCCGAAACAGAAAATAAAACACAAACTTTATTCTAGATACCCTAAGATTCATTCAGCTTAAGTTTGGTTGGAATTGGTTCACTAGTTTCAGAGGAGAAGATGTTTGAAATAGTTTACACCGGACGGACGACAACGGACGCAAAGTGATGGCAAAAGCTCACCTTTCCTTTGGAAAGGAGAGCTAATAATAATTTATTAACGTCTAACCATCAATAATACAGTATACACATTTCACATTGTAAAAGTAAACTTTTAAAAAATATTAATGCCATTCTAAAAAGAACTATGAGAGACGGATTAATAATGAACTAGTGTATTTACACATTCTCAAAAAGCTATTATAAAAAAAAGGTGACTATATCAGGCTCAACCCATTATACATTAGAAAAACCAAATTTCTAAGCCAACATAAATTGATATTTCTTGATGTTCATATTTAAAGGAACAAGGTCTTCTAATAAAAACACACTTTAAACCAACAAACACATTCCTTTATCTACATCGCACAAGCTGGTATAGTCGACAGGTGTTTGCAGGTTTCATAAAGGACGAGGTCATCAGATACATTAGAACTACAAATAAT